TTAGTCTGTTCTGTCACCCAGCGCCAACCACAGCTGACACTTCGCTGAATGACTGTTCTAGATACTGTTGACTTTCCAAGTTGTTCTGTCCTGACAAACCCATCACAAGTTGAAAGTAAATGCCTGTCTTATGTTCCCATTTTACTGGTAGTGTAATATAGACTATTAGGACTTCCCAAAGAGACACACTGGAGACCAGAACTGAGAGTAAGAAATCCTTAGTCTCAGAAGGGTTGTCAAAGTGTGAGGCATGTGTTCTTGAGTGTGCTTCGTTTTTGTTTGTTTTTGAGACAGAGTTTCTCTGTGTAACAGCCTTGGCTGTATTGGAACTCACAGACTGACCTTGAACTCACAGAGGTGAGTTCTACCTCTGCCTCCCAAGTGCTGGGATTAAAGGTTTGTGCCACGACTGCCTGGCGAGTAGGTTTGTTTTAAGAATTAGGAATTATCAGGACACTCAGGGGGCGAAAGTGAACCAGCCTGATGTGGCACAGATAAGGAGGTTGCTGAAGTATTTAGGAACAAAATAACAATCCTAAAAAACTGTACTGAAATTTAAAGTCCCTGGAAACGATGTGCTGAGTTTTCAAATATAAAATTCTCTGTATTTTAGTAAGTTTATTTGTACAATATGCAGTCTTGGTAATTTTAATATGCAATCTTGAGACACATCCACCAAAGGAGAAATAATTGCCACTCGTAGATGAAGAAATGAGGGTGTCGTGATGATTGGAACGAGAATAAATAAATGGCTGATGTCTGGAGAATGTGGTATGGGAGCAGAGTGTTTTCCAGGAAATCCCAGGGCTTTTGTTTGTTTGTTTGTTTTTTTTGACCTCTATCCAGTCCTTGTCTTCCACGGGCCCATTCTTCTCTCCACGACAACACCCCGTGTTACCACAATAGCCTCTGTTGAGTACTCGTCAGTTCTTGTTTCCAGTAGGTGTGACCCTTGACCCTGGGAGGAACAACACAGTAAGCACAGCACAGCCCTGAAAGAGCCAAGGGGGAAAGTCACCAGCCAGTCAGTGCAGATGATGCTCGCCAAAGGCATGCAGGGAAAAGAGTGTTCCAAGGGGCGAAAAAAGCATGCAGATCTTTTGGTGGGGAGATGGCTGGGGAAGGGTTCCTGGAAGGGGGAGCAGTTCAGCTCGTGTTCAGGAAAGAACACAGCCCAGACAGAAGGCTTGAGGAAGGGCTGGGCTACGTCACCCAGGTGATGGACCTCAGCGGGTATTTAAGAGCGATGCACTTCCTTATTTCCCTCGAGCAGAAGTGTTATGTAAGGAGGTAGTTGAAGATTCACTGGGTGTGCTGAGACGAATGTGATGAGAAAGTCGGGATAAAGGAGTTTGAAATTTTAATGCAGGGAATGATGAGCTGTCAGTTCAGCTGGAAGGTGGGGAGGGGACCGGCGGCAGCAATTCCAGGCAAGCGAAAGTGTTTCTATTCCTGGCTGAGGCTTTGAGTACTGGCAGTTATCTTTTTTCTTTTTTATGGGGGTTGAGGGTCCCCAGCATTTCTTTACCAAGCTGGTGCTCAGCCTAGGCCTGGGCCATTTCTCCTTTGAGGAGGTTCTGTTGGGCTTTTTGCTAGAGGTGGTTGTGTGCCCGGGAGATCTGGAGAGCTAGGCAAACCGTGGGGAAGAGCGTAGGCTGGAAGCTAAGCCCACTGTTTGAGGAAGTGGCTGTCACTCAAGTCCAAGTGTGACAGAAGTGACATAGTTTTCAAAAGGTGTCCAGCCTCTCCTACCTATGGCACTGGCTACCAGAGGCTGTGAAATTTGGGGTATTCACCTAAGATTGCTTTCCTAGCTATTTCCAGAAAGACTCAGGTAGGGGGAAAAGTTCCAAGCGTGGTTTGAAGCCCCGAACAGAGAACACAGGCAGGAGAGAGTGGTTGTACCCCTGGGGCTGCCTGGACACTAGGGTCACATGGACTCTGCCTGTCACAGCAGAAAATGTGAAAATGTCTGCATAAGTCTTTGGCTTTTTTTTTTTTTTTGAGACAGGGTTTCTCCGTAGCTTTTGGAGCCTGTCCTGTAGAACAGGCTGGCCTCGAACTCACAGAGATCCGCCTGCCTCTGCCTCCCGAGTGCTGGGATTAAAGGCGTGCGCCACCACCGCCCGGCTAAGTCTTTGGCTTTTTAGAAATACTTTAAAATATTTATTTTATTGTTTGTGTGTGTGTGTGTGTATGTGTGTGTGTGTGCGTGCACGTGCGTGTGTGTGTGTGCGCAGGCGTGTGTGTGCGCGCGGGCGTGTGTGTGTGGTGTGTGAGATGGAAACTGTAAGAAGGAGTCAGACATCCCTCCCCAACCCACAGCTGGAGTTACAGGCAGTTCTGAGCTACTTGATGTGGGTGCTGGAACTTGAACTCAGGTCCTTTGGAGGAACAGCAAGTGCTCTTGACCACTAAGCTCACTTTCCAGCCCCTGTCTTAGGATTTTTTAAAATGCAAAATTAGGCTATGAAGGGAATCTGTCATCCCATTGATCGCCAGGGCTGATTCGCCAGGGCTGATTCATTTGGCTGATGTGGCTAGTTAGGCGGGTGTCCCCTTCCTCCCTCACCGCTCCTTTGGCACCCCTCCCCTCCTGATGCTGTTAGTTGAAGAGGAAGACCTTCTCCTAGAACCTCCAAACTAGCTCTCAAGGTCCATTTATGCAAAATTATTTAGAGTTCTTGCCTATTGACCCTGCCTGACCTGAGGACTGGCTACCCAGGGAAGGTCCTGTGCTAGCAGACAGAACTCGGTTTGACCCTGAGTGGCCTGGGACTCCCTCAGAGCAGCTGCTGTGTCAGAGCTCACGGGAGTGGTGGAGGGTCATGGCTGGAAAGAGAGCCTCTGAGTGGACTGCAGTGTGGCCACAGTCCTCTCTTCCTCCCACCTGGCCGCACAGCAGCAGCACCGGGAACACGCACAGCTCCTGTCTGTGCCCTGGCTTTAGCTCAGGAGTGTGGCTGGAGGACACCATGGCCTCTTCATGGCCCCAGGCTCACTGTAGTCTGCCTAGTGCCCTTTGCGTTGGGCTAGTCCAGTGCCCATGGGAATGCATGGAGGTACCAAAGAATAAAAAATAATGGCCAGGGGGCTTGCCTAGCGTGTCCGAGGCCCTGGATTCCACCCCCATCCCATCCACAAATTTGAGTAAGTAAATAAATTAAAATGTTTTGTTTGATGTGGTTTGGTTTTGGTTTTTTGAGACAGGTCTCATTTTGTAACCTAGGCTGTCCTCAGACTTGTGATAATTCCCCTGCCTCAGCTTCCCAAGGGCTGAGGTGGGACACCACACGTGAGGTAAATAAATAAATGGAAGTGTGAGTCCTGGAGCATCCCGGAGCATGTGCGTGGTTCAGAGTGTTCAGTATGCCTACCCGTCTGAGGCCTTTCGTGGTGGACGGTTGAGGAGAGCTTCCCACAGGTCTTGTATGGATCTTTCTCATGTACTGTGATACAGTGAACTTAGAGAAGGGTCTAGACTAAGGAGTAATAGTTCCTATCCATCATTTCTCTTACTCTATTATATATATATACATATATATGTATATGTATAATATATATATGTATATGTATAATATATATTGTATATTACATATATCAAGTATATATCACACACACATATATATTCTGGTTGTGGTCATGAATGAGTGCTTTTGCCTTTAAAACCAAACAGACTTACACATCAATATGCTTACTACAAATACCCAAGTGTTGGATGTGATGGCACACATCCTGTAGTCCTATCGTTGGGAAGGCTGAAACAGAAGGGTCAGAGTTCAAGGCCTCAGCTGTTGAGGTGGCTACGTGGCTAAAAGTGCTTGTAGCACATGACTGAAGACCTGAATTGGATCCTCAGAACACATCATGGAAGGAGACAGTCAGATCCTGAAAATTTGTTCTCCACACACATGCCGTGATGTGTGTATGCATGTTTGTGCACACATGCAACAACAACAATAAAAATATGAAAAGCAATTTAGTGCCAGCATGGCCTACATAGTGAGTTCAAGGCTAGCGTGAGCTGTATGGTGAGACCTTGTCTCAAAAACAAGAAAAGATCCAAGTAATTCCGAAGTGTCTAGAGCACAAACGATGCTTCCGCTCCTACGCTTCCCATCCCTGTAGGTCTTTCTTGACGGTGGCAAGTATCCTTCATGATCTCTTACAGGATGAATAAACCATGAAAGCGGCACTGTTAGGATCTGGCTAATTCCAGCAGGACGGCTGGGCAGCTGCTCCTTGCTTTTCTCTGGAGTCTCATCTAATGTTTCAAAGAGGAAACTGTTAAGGACAGCCTGTCCCAGAGATATTCCCCCAAGTCCCTCTGTTTATGGGTGAGTCCCAGAGAGGCGAGGTGACACGTTTGCTGCGTACGGGCTGAGCCCTGCTACCCTGAGCTTTCCGTGGGCAGCATGTGTGTTTTCTAGTAGTGTCTACCTGTTCTCATCCACGGGACCCCCACCTTGACGGCATCCTGTGAATCTGGGGCTGGTGTGTGTGTGTGTGTGTGCGCGTGTGTGCAGCTTGGGAATTGAAGGGAGTTGCTTAAACTCATACACACAGGTCTGGAACCCGGGGCTTTCTCAGTTTGCACTCGGTGCGCCCTACATTAACTAAGGGGCTGTCATGTGCCCATGGGCCAGGTGTAGGGGGAGAGTCAGCCTGGCCAGGGCCTTGCTGGTACCCCGTGCAGAGCAAAGTGCCCTAGAGAGACCCTCATCATCCTTAGAAAGGGTCAAGATCCCAAGTCTGGACCAAGAACTCTGGTTTCTATGTAACAGAGGAAAGGGAAGCCTAAGACTTCCTCTGGAGCCACTAACCCCTCGCCGTCTCATGCCTCCCTGTCCCTTTGCCTCACCCCCACCCCCACTCCCTTCTCTCTGGTTCTTTGTCCATTTGTCTCCATCTGTCCCTCACCGCGTGCGGTTCCTGCCTCCTCGCTGTCACGGTATCATCTCCCCCTACCCCATCACATGCTTGCCTTCATTCCAATGCAGGCGTGCTGGTCACCATGACAACAGAGACAGGCCCTGATTCTGAGGTGAAGAAGGCTCAGGAGGAGACTCCACAGCAGCCTGAGGCTGCTGCAGCTGTGACCACCCCGGTGACCCCCACAGGCCACAGCCACCCAGAGGCCAACTCCCATGAGAAGCTTCTGCCCCAACAGGACACGAGGCCTGCTGAACAGGTGTGTATTGGGATCCGGGCTGTCCCTCCTCCTGCCCCACTAGTCCTCCTGGTCTAGTTCTTAGGGCCCTAGTATTTTCTCAGCAAGAAAGGAAAAAGGAGATTTAGATGCATTCATGACTTGTTACGTGCTGAACTCTGGGCAGGGGGCATGACGGTCATTTTATACTTAATTCCCCTGTCTGCAGAGGGGAGCTGTCATTTCCCCCCCCCCCATTTTATGCTGAGAGGATCTATGACTCAGTGTACCCAGATCCCCAAAGTCACATAGTAATACAGCTCCAGAGGTGGAGGTCAGACCCAGAACTGATTCCAGAAACAGTCCTATCTACTGTAGTCTCTGGCCTTTTTACTCAATCGTGGCAAACCTGGCGAGACCCTGACAGAACTCATCCCCAGAAAACTACAGGAGACTAAAGGCTATTGAGCCCTCCATTTATGTCTCCCTGGGTCATGACAGGCCCAGAGAGGTGCGGACTTGCCCACACTCTGGAGGGAGCCAGCTCTTCCCTCCGCTATGATCCCCATAGCTGTAAGCCCCATGCTAGACCTGGTGATGGGGAAGCCGGGAGAGCACAGTCAGACGCCTTGATGAGTCAAGCACTGCTCTAGGGAGAGATGCAGGCCAGCTTGGTGGTGAGTTTAGTTCACTGTGCTGCTCCTGTCTGCAGAGCCTGTCCACGATAGCAGTGGTCTGTAGGAAGACACAGCCCCCTCAACTCCCATGAAGATATCAAATTTCTACCCATGCTGGGTGGTGGTGGCGTACGCCTTTAATCCCAGGACTTGGGAAGCAGAGGCAGGAGGATTTCTGTGAATTTGAGGCCAGCCTGGTTTACAAAGTGAGGTTCAGGACAGCCAGTGCTGTTCCAAGGAGAAACCCTGTCTTGAAAAACAAAACAAAACAAAAATCACTACTTGCTGGAGAGATGGCTCAGTGGTTAAGAGCATTGCCTGCGCTTCCAAAGGTCCTGAGTTCAATTCCCAGCAACCACATGGTGGCTCACAACCATCTGTAAAGAGGTCTGGCGCCCTCTTCTGGCCTTCAGGCATACAGACAGAATATTGTATACATAATAAAAAAAAAAAATCACTACTTATATACACCAACCATAGCCCGCAGCCACCCTGAAGGTCTTGGAAGGTATCACGTCTTATTCTAGAGTGCACCTTGGCCTCAGCCACCCAGTCACTTCTTATTGTTTCAAGTTCGTTCACTTCTTTCTTTGTGGGCCCCATAGAGCCTAGATATGGAGGACAAGGACTACAGTGAGGCCGATGGCCTGTCGGAGAGGACCACGCCTAGTAAGGCCCAGAAGTCACCCCAGAAGATTGCCAAGAAGTTCAAGAGTGCCATCTGCCATGTCACTCTGCTCGATGCCTCTGAGTACGAGTGTGAGGTGGAGGTAGGGAGCACCCAGCGCCATATGCCCCGCCCCAGGCCCACTGGCCTCAGTGCCAGGCTAGCTCCTGCATGTCCTGATTCCAAGCCAACCCAGAGGAGGACCAACTGCGATGTCCGGAGGGGTGGCTTGGCCTGGCACTCCCTTGTCCAGATGGTGACACCGAGGTCCAGAAAGGGTCATCACTATTGCAATCTAAATTAAGACCCAACACAGACTGGCACCAGGAAAGGTGTCTCAGGGTAGCTGTGCCTTGGTAAGAATGTCACCATTTAAGGGCTGATATGTAGGGCTGACCACAGAAGGATAGTCCCCGTATGATTCTGAATTCCAGGTTATCTCCTACATGCACACACGCGCACGCACGCACGCACGCACACACACACACACACATTTTTTGAGGGCATCTTCTTTTCCTCTCACCACCAACCCTTAGGACTTTGGCTTTTGGCTTCTCTTGATTTCTGTCAAGGGGAAATCTCCAACATGCTCCCAAGCGGGTCCGTGGTCTAGGAAGACCTTGACAGGGCTCGTGAGGGAGACCTAGATGAGGTGGGCTTTAGAGACGCGAAGAGTGGTGCCAGGTGGCAGAGTGCTGAGGTCCTGCCCATCCACAGGGAGGCTCATGGGGGCTCTGTGTTCATCCAGGGGAAGCTGGGTCAGCTCCTTGCCCCACCTGCAGGGGCACCAGCCTCACGGTAGCCTTGTCTCTCTTCCTCAGAAGCACGGCCGGGGCCAGGTGCTGTTTGACCTGGTCTGTGAACACCTCAACCTCCTGGAGAAGGACTACTTCGGTCTGACCTTCTGTGATGCTGACAGCCAGAAGGTACCTGGCGGTGGGCAGGGAGGCAGTCCCCCAGACCTTCAGTGGGCATCCTCTGTTTCTGCACCAGCAGCCCTGGCTACTCGCACTTCTCTGACCCAGCTCCCTGCCCCCAGTCTTTCCTAAGATACTCACAGACTGGTCCCTGGAGAACTATAATGTGGCTCTGTGAGTTCCCCAGGGAACAGAACAGTCCTCAATCAGTGCCTCCTCTGCCCCAGGTGTGAGGACAGGTGGCTCACTTTCCTTCTAGCTATAGCTGTAGTAGCTGGCCACTGTGGCCATCTCAAGGCACTACTAGCCCTGGTGCCATAACTGAACCCCACCGGGGATTCAGGCCTCACTCTCTAGTGCCAAGTAAATCGATCCAGGAAAGAATGTTCCCCATGAGAGTCTGTGGCAGGCCACTTCCGGGTAGTCAGCTGTCTCTCCCAGTCCCACTCTGCCTACTCCATCATCTTCCTTCTAAAAGATGAATCTTAATTCTCTTCCAGAATTGGCTGGACCCCTCCAAGGAAATCAAGAAGCAGATCCGGAGTGAGTACTTGCTCATGGCTGGTGTGTGTGGATGGGCGGGCAGGGCCTGGCTCTAGTGCTCCCATCTGCTTTGGAATGTGCTTCTGGATCCCCATACTGCTTCGCTATACATGGCAGGTCTTAGAGAAGGCAGGCTAGTAATGATGTTGACATTATTTTATAGGTAGCGAGTCTGAGGCCCAGACAACAGAAATGACAGTACATCGCAAATTAGTAAAGAAACTGCAAATGCATTCAAGAGATCAGCTCTGCAGAGGACAAGGGGATAAACCCATGACCCGGAAAGAGCTAACCTTCTGTCCAAGAGTGGTGTAGCTAGCAACCCATAACTCAGGCCTGGAGAGTGGCAGCCACTTACGTAAACCTACAGAGCCAAGTGCTGGCCGAGCCAGTCTTGAGCCCTGGCCTTTGTCTTATTCTCCTCAGTGCCTGGGGAGGAGGCAGATGAGCAGGTCAGCAATCTGTCTTTTCTGGCCCAGAGAGAAGCAGCTTGTTGGGAGAGGGATGAGAAAGCTCTCAGATAGTGGAAGAAGGAGGTTGGTAGCCTCCGCAAACAGGCCTGTAGGAGACAGAGAGCATCTCTGCCTTTACCCCAGGCCCCACCCACCCTGGATATGCTTGGGCTCCTCAGGGTTGGACTCCATGGCCCCCTGGCTGGGAAGCTGTAGCTGAGTCTGTTGCCATGACAGCAGGCAGCTGGCCCAGGGAAGCCAGCTGACTCTACAGGAGGGGGCTTGAGGAGATTTTCCAGTAGGTTCTTGACGGTTGGAGACAAAGAAGCAGGCACATAGGCAGAGCATACTTCTGTGGGTCAGCAGGGTTCTGGGGTTGAATTTCAGGCTGCCTTCTAATTGTGCCTGCCCAACTGGGAAGCCAGCCTTTCATGCCTTGGGGAGAATTGGTTCAGATAGCCAAGTTGAAGAATTTAATAAGAACCATTAGCCTGGAAAAGAGGCAGCCAGGCCAAATGGCCGGGCCCTAGGGTCTTCCCCAGAGCAATCCTGGAGGCCCTGCTCACCTGGCTTGACATGTGGACTGTTGTTCCTGTCATAGTTCAGGCTGTGGCTTCATACGTGTAGCCTTGGTCCCAGGAAGAGCCTCCTCTAGAGAACTGGGAAGTTGGCTCAGGAGAGAAGGTGCTTGCTGCCTAAGCCTGAGGACCTGAGTGCAGATTCTCAGCGCCGATGTCAGCCAGCAGAGCAGCACGCATGTGCAACCAGGCGAATTCTAGGGGCTTGCTATCCACAGACTAGCCACATTGGCAAGCTCCAAGTTCAGTGAGAAACTAGTCTCAGAAAGTTAGGTGAACGTGGATGACCCAGCACTTGTGCGGTGTTAGGGAGCACTAACTGGACTCAGGGTGTACTGAAGAAAAAAGGGAGGACACGCAGGTGGGAAGGAGGAATGTCGGAGTGTGGGGGAATGGGCATGGATATGATCAGGATACACGATATGTACGTATGAAATAGGATATGATCGGAATACATGGTATGTATGTATGAAATTGTTAGGATGTAATCAGGATACACAGTATGTGTATGTATGAAATTGTCAGGATGTGATCAGAATACATGGTATGTATGTATGAAATTGTCAGGATGTGATTGGAATACATGGTATGTATGTATGAAATTGTCAGGATGTGATTGGGATACATGGTATGTATGTATGAAATTGTTAGGATGTAATCAGGATACACAGTATGTGTATGTAAGAAATTGTCAGGATGTGATTGGAATACATGGTATGTATGTATGAAATTGTCAGGATGCGATCGGGATACATGGTATGTATGTATGAAATTGTTAGGATGTGATCAGGATACACAGTATGTATGTATAAAATTATTAAACCTAAGTGGGGCCGAAGACATGGCTCGGTGATTAAAAGCAGTTGCTGCTTTCTCAGAGGACCTGGGGTTGATTCCCAGTACCTACCATTTGTAGCTCCAGTTCCAGGGGAGTCTGATACCCTCTTCTTGCCTGTATAGACACGGCATGCATATGGTGTGCTTAATATATAGGCAAAACTCTTACATGTGTAAAGTAAAAATAAATCTTTAAAAATAATAATATTAGCTGGGCCATGGTGGTGCACACCTTTAATTCTAGCACTTGGGAGGCAAAGGCAGGAAAATCTCTGTGAGTTCGAGGCCAGCCTGGTCTACGGAGTGAGTTCCAGGACAGCTGGATCTACGCAGAGAAATCATGTCTCAAAAAAACCAAACCAAAACAATAATAATAATAATGATAATAATGACAAAAATAATAGTAGTAATAATAATAATAAGGTAGATAGCATTAGAGGAAGACGTCAACCTCTTGCCTCCACATGTATGTGAACAAGGGGAACACACACACACACACACACACACACCCCTGCATGCCCGCATACATGCGCCTTCTCTATTAGAGCTTTGCCTTTGTCCAGTCTCTGAAATGCCAGTCCTGTCCTTTGGACAGGCAAGAGAGCAGTTTTGCCTCCTTGCTGTTGTTGGTCACATCTCCTCACCCTTGATGGTGGCTTCTTGAGCCCTTAATATCCTGGGCTTCTGAGAAAGGTATCCCTCCCCTCAAGCCTCATTGCCTGTCGCCTAAGACACCTTGAACAGGTCCTCTGAGTCTCTGATTCTTCTTGACAAGTGGACCAGCCGTCCCTGCCTCACGAGCTGGGAGTGACGGCAAAGTGACACACCCTTAGACACCGCCAGATACAGTGGCTGTTTTCTTCTGGACGCAGCTTGGATTTGAATTCTAGTTCGAGTCCTAATTCTTCTGTTTAGTAACTGTTCCGTACCTCAGTTTCTTCCCTGCAAAGTGGGGTCATGATAACACAGATTTGGGATCGCTGAGAGGGTGAAATGGGGTATCTGTCATAGATGTGGCATTCACACAGTGCCTGTCCCGTGCACCCCACATGCACCAGCTTTGAGCACTGTTTGCTGGCACTGCTTTCCTCCTTGTGTACCTTGCTGCTTTCTAACGGGTCTTTGTGATTAAGAGCCTGGGCTCTGGGGTCAGATGACTAGAAATGTATTCTCTGTTACCAAGTAGTTGATTGATCCTTAAAATGTTTGTCTATGGAAAGGAAACTCGGGTTGGGAAGGTAGCTCACTGGCAGAGCGCTTGCCTGGTATGTTCATGGCCCTGGGTTTGATTGTGAGTACTGCAAAAACAAAAACAAACCAAAACAACAACAACAAAACCAACCAATAAAAACCTCACTCTCAGGGTGATTATGAAATTAAACTCCTATGCCTGTGGGGAAAGCTCGTCATTTTTGTTGCCTGGGCCTCCATGTTCTCAAAATCATAGTTTAGTGAAGCAATTCGGTGCATATGTGTGGTGTGCAGGGTTACTTTTCTTTCTTTTATCTTCTTTCCCATTGTTACCTCACAACTCTCTCAAGAAAAGTATTTTATTATTTGTGTGAATGTGTGTGTGTGTGTGTGTGTGTGTGTGTGTGTGAGAGAGAGAGAGAGAGAGAGAGGAGGAGGAGGAGGCATGCCACAGCATATGAACGGAGGTCAGAAGTCACAGGACAGCTCTCAACAGTCTCTCCTTGCCCTGTGAGTTTCAGGGTTTGAACTCAGGTCCTCAGGCTTTCATGGCAGGCACCTCGCGGGCCTCCTCACAAGTCTGTTAGCCTGGGCCTCAGTTTCCTTATCCATCAAATGGAAATGATGTTCCGGGATTGGCTTGTCCTAGAGAGGGAAACCCGTGAAGGTGCTCACAGGCTGGCGCATCCTAGACAGACACCAGAATGACGGGGCCTCTCTGACCTTTCCTGCATTTTCCTCTTAGGCAGCCCCTGGAATTTTGCCTTCACAGTCAAGTTCTACCCTCCTGACCCGGCCCAGCTGACAGAAGACATCACAAGGTAAGAACCACAAAGAGAGGAACAGTGAGTGGAGCCGGGCATGCTGGCCCTGGGAGACAGAGACTATGGTGGAAGTGGCAAATGCCGTTCCCAGAGAGACTGTCTCAAGACAGTAGAGACTATGAGGACAGCAGGACCCAAATGCAGCTGACTTTAACCCTGGAGAAGGCGTCAGAGGGTCCGCGGGCGTCAGAGGGTCCGCGGGCGTCAGAGGGTCCGCGGGCGTCAGATGTACCTAAAATGGCTGTGGTCTGGCAATACGGATTATCATGTAAAGGCTCTTGCTGTACAAGTCTGGCTCTTGAGTTCAACCCCTGGAACCCATGTAAAGATAGAAGGAAAACAGTCCCCCCAAGTTGTCCTCTGACTTTTACGTACATGTCCTGGCATCGTTACCCACCTCACCCTCTCGCTCTCTCTCACATGCTCTCTCTCTCTCTCTCTCTCTCTCTCTCTCTCTCTCTCTCTCTCTCTGCCAATATATTTTTAATAATTAAAATGATTTTTGACACACTCTGAGAGTCACTGGCCTGTGGGAATTGGACCTGAAAGTTAAGTGAAGTTAGATATTTAGATGTTTGTGTTTGAAAAACCACACATTTTAAATCTTGACAGTGAACACAAGCTTTTTCTAATCTCAGAGGGGACCCTCTGTGGGCCAGATGACCTGGCACACGGGGTCTGATATTCTGCACAGAGTACTGGTTTGTGGTGTTGAGAAGGAAGGAAGAGAGTCTGGGAGGGGGGAGTTTGGTGTCCTCTGTGCAGGAGAGGTGTGTGGAGGTGAAAGGAGGCACGTGAGTCCAGTGGAGGCCACCTGGGCTGCTGGGCTGCACATGGACCACCCAGGTTCAAGGGGCCTGAGGTAGGGACAGCATCCTTCAGGGTGGGAGCTTGCTGGGTCCATCCTGCAGAGCAAGGAGAAGCCCCTCTCTTTAATCCTGTCAAAGACACGGGCTCGTTACATGCTATCCTGCTCTGGTGCCCGTCACATCATGGGACTTACTCCCAAAGTAAGACACAGCGTGGAGTTCTTCTGCAGAGGGTGGGACGGCTAAGCTGCCCTTGCCCTCCCTCTAGGTTCCTTACTTCTCTTTCTTTTTTCTTTTGTTGGGGGTCCTGGGATTTGAACCTAGGGCCTTGTGAGTGCTAGACAAGCCTTCTGCATAAGCGGTGTCTCCGTCCCTCTTTTTATTTAAAAATTTTAATATTTATTTTTATTTATGTGTACATGTCTGTGTGAAGGTATGCCTTGTGTGTAGAGGCCAGAAGTGGGTTTCAGATCTCCTGGAGCTAGTATTTCAGGCAGTTGTGAACCATTCTGCTGGGCTATGGGAACAGAACACAGGTCCTATGGAAAAGCAGTATGTGCTCTTAACCACTGAGCCATCTTCCCAGCGTCACTTTTCAAGAAATTTTGAGACAGTCTTATTAATTTTCCTGGGCTGGCTTTGAACTTCTGACCCTCCTGCCCCAGCCTTCTTAGTGTGAAGCTATAGGCCTATACAACCAGCCTTGGATATCAGGTCCATTTTTAATGCCTGATACCCATTGACTAAGCAATATACCAAGTTCAAGATGCTGCCTCTGGCTTTAGGAGAGATGACAGACGTTCCTGGAATAGAGCAGGTCCCGGGCCTTGGCTTCATTAACCTCGCTCTAAGCCCTGAGATCTGCTTGGGGCCAAGGTGACAGCAGCCATATCCCAATCCAGAGCTTTAGGCCAACACAGCCACCAGAGTGTGTCTTCTCTGTGCCAGAGCCTGGGTCTTGGGCTTCCAGAGACACAAGTGGGAAGGGTAGCCTTGACCAGCACAGATGGCTCCAGAAGGTAGGGTCGTAAGAGCAGCTGATTTAGTCAAAAATAGTGAGGCCCAAAATAAACCAGTCAGAATGACAAATTGATTGAAATGAAAGATTGGCTGGAGCGCTGGCAATGATTTTTAAATTTTTAGACTCTTGAACAAAATGTCATAGGTCCATGCTGGACTCCGGTGATGTGTGAGCGGGAGTGGCGCTTGAACCCAAGCACACACCAAGGCTGCTGTGACCATTGCCTGGGCTTTGGTTCTGACTTTGAAATGTCACAGAGGACTAAAAATTCTAAGTCGAAGTCGTTTTTAGGAAAGAGACTTGGGCAGTTAGGAAAACATTGGCAAAGCATGCAGAAAAGGACAAGGAGAGAGCCCTGGCTGCCAGTGAACCAAGGCAGGGCCTTACTTCAGTGAACAGTGGCTGCAGACGTGGTGACAAGTGACTCCAATGGTCTAAGCCTCCAACTATGACTGTAAGCTGCAAAAAGCCACAGCCTGGTGGCTGGAAATGCTTCCTCAGACCAGTTTGGTTCTTAAACAATTCACTTAGGGCTGGAGGCAGAAGGTTTGGGGAGGGGGCCGGCAAGATGGTTCCACTTGTAAAAGTACTTGCCACCAAGTCTGATGACCTCAGCTTGATCCCCGGAGACACTTCTTAAATTATGTCACTGGCTGTGACAAAGAAAGCTCTAGAATCAGATGGAGCATTTGATATTATTTGCATATGAAAACACCCATAAATTAAAGCCATATATATTTCTGTGTGTTTGTGGAAGAGAAATGTCTAGAATGCCATGTGACTCGCTGGTGGCTTTGCAGAGGGAGCTGGGAATACCACCAAGAGGAAACTCAGACACACCTCTAAAGTTTCTTTCTTTTCTTCTTTTTCCATCTGAGAACTTATTAACTTGCAGGGTGGGGGATGCAGCTCAGCTGGCAGAGTGCTTGCCTGATGTGTAGGAAGCCCTGGGTTCCATCCCCAGCACTGCAGAAAAGGTGTGGTCCTGTGCACCTGTCATCCCATCACTTGGGAGGCTGAAGTGGGAGGGTTACTGTGAGTTACGCAGTGGTACCCTGTGAGAAAGAAGATCCAGAACATATTAGACTCCATAGTTAAAACTACACGATAGCCAGGCATAATGGCGTATGTATATAGTCCCAGCATTTGGAAGGTTGAGGCAGGCAAGAACAGCTTAGGATGTATGATGAGTTCCAGGCCCGTTTAGTGAGACCCTATCTCAACACCAGATAATTGGGCTAGGGAGGCAGTTCAGTGAGCAAAGTGCTTACACGTAAGTGTGGAGCTCAGTCTGAATCCCCAGAACCCATGTGTAGTCAGACCACTGGCTCCCCAATAATGACATGGAGACTTATTATTAATTATGAAAGCTCGGCTGAGGCTTGTTACTAGCTCTCACAACTTAAACCATTTTTATCGGTCTACTCTTTGTCTTGTGGCTTTATTACCTTTACTCTGTACTGTCCATGCTGCTTCCTCTCTGACTGGCAACTCCTCGTTTCTTAAACCAATCTGAGTGATCTATCTTCACACGGTATAAAAGAATATTCCATAGCACCCATGTAAAAGGACAGATGTGGTAATGTGTGATTCCAGCACTCCTACGCAGAGGGGTAGAGGCAGGAGAAGCCTCAGAAGCTCCAGGGCCAGCTCTCTTGGTATATACAGCATCAGTCAACAACAACAACAACAAAAAGACCCTGCCTAAAACAAGGTGGTAGGCAGGGATCAACAATCAAAATTGCCTTTTGGGGCTGGAGAGATGCTCCATGGCTAGGAGCACTTGTTGATCTTGCAGAGAACCCAGGTTCAATCACATGGCGGCTCACAACCCTCTATAACTCCAGTGTCAAGGGATCTGACGTCCTCTTCAGTTCCCCATGGGCAGCAGGCATGCACAATGTACATACATATATACCAGCAGAACACTTGTTCATATACAATAAAATAAATAACTCTTAAAAAATTATTATCTGAGCCGGGCGGTGGTGGCGCACGCCTTTAATCTCAGCACTCGGGAGGCAGAGGCAGGCGGATCTCTGTGAGTTCGAGGCCAGCCTGGTCTACAAGAGCTAGTTCCAGGACAGGAACCAAAAGCTACGGAGAAACCCTGTCTCGAAAATAAAAAAAAAAATTGTTATCTGGCCAAACAGTAGTGGTGCACGCCTTTAATCACAGTACTTGGGAGGCAGAGGCAGGTGGATCTCTGTGAGTACAAGGCCAACCTGGTCTACAGAGAGAGTTTCAGAGAAACCCTGTCTTGAAAAAACAAAACAAAAAACAAAAACAAAAGAGAAAACAATGGCAAAAACCAAAAACTTGCTCTCTGACTTCCATAAGCACACAGTGGTATGTATGTTCTTACACACACATATATGCACATGTACACAAAACAAACCAGTTGACAAAAACAAATAAACAAAACCACAAGTCATTTTCCCCCCACAAGGGCTGAACCAATAGTAGTCCTACTGAGTTTGGAACTGAATTATAAATCTCAGAAATTCTCTTAGAGTAGAAAAAATATTCCTCAAATTCAGAAATGAACAAAAAGGCTTCAAGTCCCATGGCATGTCTTAAAACCTGCTCACGGGACATACCCGCTCACCAGCAGTGAATGCCAGTGTCTACGGGTGCCATTTTCCACATAGATAATTTTGTTTTGTTCCCGTAGCTCAGCTGTTGGGGTCTGGACCACCTGGAGGTGTAGACCTATGCCCACCTCTTTCCCTGTCTCTAGGTATTACCTGTGCCTGCAGCTGAGGGCAGACATCATCACAGGCCGCCTGCCCTGCTCCTTTGTCACGCATGCCCTGCTGGGCTCCTATGCCGTGCAGGCTGAGCTGGGTGACTACGATGCAGAGGAACACATGGGCAACTATGTCAGTGAGCTCCGCTTCGCCCCAAACCAGACCCGGGAGCTGGAGGAGCGGATCATGGAGCTGCACAAGACATACAGGTAAGTGCACCCGGCACCCTGCTGGCTGCTGCTGTGCCCTCAGGCTGAAGGGCTGGCTCTGAATGCTGTGTCTTATAAATGCCACTTGGCCTGCTCCTAGCACAAGGTGCCTGGGAACAGGTCCTTTCCATGAGGTGGGAATAACTGGGACCATCTGCTTGATCGTAAGTGACCACTTGGATCTCAACGTCTTGAGTTCCTGTGTGGGTAAAATTCCCTGTCCTGAACCTCTGGGGATCAGTTTTTCTGTTACTCAGTTATAATAATGGTGGCATGCTTATGGGGAAGGGTACTGATACAGCGGTTTTGGCAAAAAAAAAAAAAATTTAAATGCAAATGCCAAACCTGACTGTGTCTCTTTCTAACCAGGGAATGTTGACAGGTCATATTACTTCCCTGCGCTATGGCGTGGTCATCTATTCAGTGTGGTGCTGGTCAACATGTCCCGTGGGTTATGAAGGAGGACACACAGCAAATATTAAAGCCACGTCACACGTGGGCTGAGTGTTGCTATCCATCAATTGGGGCGTTTGTGTGGTTGATTGCGTACTCTGTTGAGCTGTTGATTGCATATTTGTTGAGTTGTTGATTGAATACTTTGTTCTGGAGTTAGACGATAATTGGCCAGATGTGTGATTGTGGGCTAGTTGCTGAACCTCTGTAAGCCCCGTTTTTACCTATAAATACACGGGATGGGGTGATGAGTGTTGCTCAGCCGCTGGTACTTCGGACAGCAGAATTCATCACACAGGATCTTATGCTTCCTTGGGCTGCGGATATTGAATACCCATAGCACTAAGCCATGGGAACACGGTCCACTGCCATTCCTCAGTGCCTGCTCTGCCGAGAACACTACCCCTGGATCAAAATGATCTGCAGGGTCCTTTGCAGCTGGAAGTGCTGTGGTTCAAGCTCAAGGTTGTTATGGGAACCTGATGTGAAAGTGCATTCTAAAGGATACGGTGCTGCACCTGTGGGAAGGACTCCAGCGACATTATCTCATTCCTGTGCGCGGAGGGAGTGGGCAGGATTGTGTGCGGTGGTCTGGACCTAGAGAGGAGGATCGTGGTCACGTGATGAGTTCATATCCGGGGCTGAGCCTGCTAGGTGTGAGGGATGCTGGGCCAAAGTGCACATCAGCATTGCTGGGTTTGTACTGGCTGCGTGGAGTCACGCTAAGGAGGAGACAAGCAGTCGTGGCCACCAGACATAGGAGGAGGATGTCATGCCTGCCATCTTCTTAATTGGTGGGAACTGAGACAAAAATCCTAACTCCCAGGCTAGTCCTTGTCTGCTGCCTGGACAAAACAAGACAGAAGATGACCTGAGTTACAGAAGACGGGCTTGGTGGACTGAAGTAGAGGGGCTCTCAGTCCTGTCCTGAGGGTAGAGGAGAGGGCCTGAGACCTACCTTTATGGCATGGCCAGTTCTGGTGGTGATACTTACAGCCAGCTGGACTCAGCCTGGGCCTTTGCCACATCCCACAACCATCTTTTCTTTCCTCAGGGGCATGACCCCGGGAGAGGCAGAGATCCACTTCCTGGAGAACGCCAAGAAGCTTTCCATGTATGGGGTTGATTTGCACCACGCAAAGGTACCACTGAGTTCCAGGAAGGCCTCATCTTAGGTGGTTCCTTGGGAACTAGAGCCCCTCCAGAGCTAGTGTCTGGACTGTTTTGCCTCCAACTTGGAACCTTTGGGGTTCTTTCTCAAAGTTAATAACCTTTTATTCTCTCCGACCTTTATCATCTCCCCCTTGGATTCGGTTTCCTCACAAACCTAGTAGTTTGTGCTACACTTGCTTGGGTGCATCTGAGAGACAGAGGCCTTAGCTTGTTTCTGTCACAGTGGTGTGCGGCACATGGCCTGCCATGCGTGTGTTCCTAAGTGTTTGTTGAGTGACTGAGTGATTGACAGAGCAAATGCCCGAAGAAGTGAGTGATGGATGTGTGCTAAGTGGGAGGCGAATGTCCAGGTGCTTGTGGGGGTCTCAGTTGAGGAATTCCACCCCCCTCCTGAGCAGGGTGGTGGCAGGGCTGCCCCTGCCTGGCTCCCAGTTCCCACTCTGTGCTCTCTCCTTGCACAGGATTCTGAAGGCATTGATATCATGCTAGGCGTCTGTGCCAACGGCCTGCTCATCTACCGGGACCGCCTGAGAATCAACCGCTTTGCCTGGCCCAAGATTCTCAAGATCTCCTACAAGAGGAGTAACTTCTACATCAAGATCCGGCCTGGGGAGGTGAGTCCAGCCCCAAATCCACTCTCTTCACTCACCTCCCTGTCTGAGTTAGGGTTTCTTTTTGTTTGTTTGTTTGTTTTTGTTTTTTATTTTTCAAGACAGGATTTCTCTGTGTAACAGCGCTGGCTGTCCTGGAACTCGCTCTGTAGACCAGGCTGACCTCGAACTCACAGAGATCCGCCTGCCTCTGCCTGCCGACTGCTGGGATTAAAGGCGTGCACCACCACCACTCTTTAGTTAGGGTTTCTATTGCTGTGAAGAGACACTAAGACCATGGCAACTCTTGCAAGGACAACATTTAATTGTAGCAACTTACAGCTTCAGAGGTTCAGTGCATCAGGTGGGAAGCATGGGGTATGTGGGCAGACAGTGCTGGCTATATCTGGATATGCAGGCCACAGGAAGTTGACTGATGCACTGGGTGTTGTCCTGGGCATAGGAAACCTCAAAGCCTGCCCCTCCAACAGGGCCATACCCACTCCAACAAAGCCACACCCCCTAATAGTGCCACTCCCTATGAGATTATGGGCACCAATTACATTCAGACTACCACTCCCCCATACTACTGGGAGATTGACTGAACCTAATAGAGCAGACCCCAGCAGCTGACCTGGGTTTTTCCTACCCAGGAAACATGCACAAGGCTCTGGGGTTAATGAAAGGTGGATCTTCCTCCTCCCTGCCTCTCTATGTAGACTATACACCCTGGACTTGTGGCTTTACATATTGTTTATTTTATTAGTTTGTGTGTATGTGCATACACACACACAACTGTGCATATGTGCTGTGGTGCACACATGGAAGCTAGAGGTCAGGTCCTGTGGACATTTTGCAGTAGTCAGTTTTCTTATTCCTCCATATTGGTCCTGGGAATCAAACTCAGGTAATCTGGTGAGCCATTTTGCAGGCCCTGGATGTATGCTTTCAAGTAACATGTCTGCATGTAAGCATGTAAACATGTATCCTGAGACATATACTTCATGGTCAAAATTAAAATGACAACCACATGGATCCAGGCTACACCAAAGTCAATACATGTCTGCACACACAGATTTGCCCATGTGCAGGAGTCCACTGTGTCTGTACACCAAGACACGCACAAGCTTATGATATCACATGATGTGTACACAGAGGCACGCATGCCCACCACCCACCTGGCCCTCCTTACCACTGTGCCAGCCACTGTCTGTCACCTGTATCTCTACGCGGTCCCTTTGATTGACCTCCCTGCCTCTTTCTCCATTAACTGCTGGCATCTCCTGCACACACACCAGCCTCTGTCACTGGAACAAAACACCTGATATAATCTGCCATAGCAGGGAAAGGCTTGCTTTGGCTCACAGTTTGGGAGGCTTAGTCCATGTTGATTGGCCCCATGGCGTTGGACTCATGGAGAGGCTGCACACTGAGGCAGGAGGGCATGAAGGGGCTGAGTGGCCATGCAATGTTCAAGGGTACAAAGACACCAGCATTTGAGGGTACACACCAGTGTCCTAAAAACTCCCAGGAGGCCCTACCTTTTAAAGGCTTCCATTACCTTCCGAATGCACCACGCTGGGGATGAAGTGTTTAACTCCTTCGCCTTTGGGGACATTGTGGATCCCAACTCTAGCATGACCCTGTCCTTCTAGTCTCAGCACAGAACTCATGCCTATGGAGGGCAGTGTTTTCTCTGACAGTTCTACCCAAGCCTGCCCAGCCGGTCCTTCATCCCCATTAGCACTTACCTGTATCTGTGACGGTCTTATTTATATTACTTTGTTCTTTTTCCTCATGTGTGTGTATGTATGTTGCAGTGAGTATGTGTCTGTATTCATGAGTGTGTGTGGTTGTATATGAGTGTATACATGGTGTGTAGATGAGTGGGTGTGGGTGTGCTGAGTGTCTGTGGTGTGTACCTGGGTGTGTGTATCAATGTATAGATGGTGTGTACGTGATTGTGTGTATATGGTGTATGGTGTGTATGTTAGTGTTTATGTAGTTGTACATGAGCGTGTATATATTGTGTGGTAAGTACATGCTTATATGGTGTGTGGTGGTATATGCGTGTATGTGTGGTGTATACATTAGTGTGTGTGTTTGTACATGTATGTATGGTGTGTAGTATGAGTGTGTATCAGTGTGTGTGTATGGTGTGTATATGAATGTATGTGGTATGTACATGAGTGTGTATGTGTAGAATGTGGTGTGTATATGAATGCATGTTTAGGTGTGTATGTAATATGTACATGAATGTGTGTGGTGTGTAAATGAGTGTATGTATGTGGTTGTACATGAGTGTATGTGTGTGTGATCTGCACATGAGCATAGGTGTGAGCTTGATGTTGGGAATCTCTCCCTCATCCTCAACGATTCTCCTACCTTATTCAGTGAGGCAGGCAGGGCCTCTCAGGCAAACCCGGAGCTGACCAGTATGTCTAGTCTGGCTAGCCAGATTGCTCTGGGGTCCTCCATTTTTCTGGGGCTGCAATTACATGTGACCTGCCATACCATCTGGCCTTTCATGTAAGCTCTGGGGATTTGAACTCAGACATTGTGAGGCAGACATTTCACCACTGAGCCATCTCCCCCGTCCTACGGAATTATTTTGAGACCTCCTATTCCCTAGAATCTGTGTGTTGATGCCTCCCGTGTCTCCAGTGCTTAGCACTGGACCTGTCATAGGAAAGGGCTCAGTCCGCCTGGTTTACATGCATGAACAGGCTAAAGTTATAGCTGTGTGAGAAGAGGGTGAGTAGGTGAGCTGGGCTGGTGTTGAGTATGGCCCAGGCCTCACCTCAAGCCCCCCCTTCTTGGCTTCCCAGTATGAGCAGTTTGAGAGCACCATCGGCTTCAAGCTCCCCAACCACCGCTCAGCCAAGCGGCTCTGGAAGGTCTGCATTGAGCACCACACATTCTTCCGGTGAGTCGCCCCTGGGTGCTCTGAGAGGGATGAGAGAGGCTGTGAGGGGTCAGGGGAGCAGAAGAGCAATTAGAGCAGCAAGCCCACCTTCCCCAAGTCTCCCTTTCCTGGACTGTGAAGAATTGTAGGTGGTGGGACACTGGAGTGAGAAGCCTGCTGGGGTCTGACTCTGGGCCTGGTAACGCTGGCCTGATCCCTATCTGTCATCCCTACCACTCTGTTCTAGGCTGGTGTCCCCAGAGCCCCCACCCAAGGGCTTTCTGGTGATGGGCTCCAAGTTCCGGTACAGTGGGAGGACCCAGGCACAGACCCGCCAAGCCAGTGCCCTCATCGACCGGCCGGCACCCTTCTTTGAACGTTCCTCCAGCAAGCGATACACCATGTCCCGCAGCCTTGATGGAGGTATGGCCCAGACTGGAGCTGGGATAAGGGTGGTCCTCAGGGGAAGCAGGGTGGAAGAACAAGGCAGGGTCTGCAGAACAAATGTGGCAGCTGCTGCAGGTACTCTCCAGGCCTTGCACCAGACATGGCGGTCCTAGAAGCGCCGCTGCTCCTGGGCTGTGCCCGGTCAGCTCTGTCTTACTGGAATGTGACGTATACTCCAGTACTTCTCTGTGTTGTGACCTTGTGGGGCCCCAGGTTCTGCCATCTGATTTTCTTGGCTTTTGCCCAAGAAGCTCAGCAGTGCACAGGTTGACATTCTGCCAGCAGATAAACATCGTGTGGTTTACATGAAGGAAAGAGGATCTGGTCTGGCCCTGGCCCTTCCCTATAGGTGCCATTCTAACACCAGAGCTAAATGAAACCTAGACTGGAGGAGAGATGGTGACAAAGGTTAGCCGGAGCTGGGGCCTTGTTGGGAGAGCAGAAGCCTGGACTCTAACCCTAAAGGCCAGGTTTCATGTATTGACATTCTGAAAGGACACCTATGGAACCTTCTCTTCTTGAGGCCTCAGTTATACTCTGTCAAATGTAATTCCCAGGCTAGCCCACAATACAGAACAATGTAGGTCAAGCCAGGCAGTGTGCAGCAATGGGCACTTTGCAGAGGAAATAGCCCTAAAAGGAAAGGCAAGTTGGCATCGCTTTTTAATGGCTGCCAACGCGAAGGGTTATATGTATGTTCTGGTTGTCGTCGTGATGAGTTTTTGCAGCCTTTTTTATTACTAAGGCTCAGTCTACAACATTTTGGGTTGGCCTGGTGCAGTCTCTAAACCCACACTTCTTCTGTTCAGAAAAATATTTAAGAATTGTGGCAAGAGAGATGAACATTACAGGAATCTCTTTGAATTCTTATTAATTCACAGAGAAAGCAAACCATTTGTAAGCTTCTGCAGTCGCTTGTAAAAGCTGGTTTCGGGATCCCTGATCATTGCTAGATAATGAGATACCGGGAGGACCACAACCCAAACAGCAATGTTTGCTGGGCCAGCATGGATGGAAGGCTCACTCTGGGCAAGACACTCTCCAAAGTCCTTACCTCATCTTTCTGGCATAGATACCAATTAATGTTGAGGAAACTGAGGTCCAGAGGGATCATGTGACTTTTCCACTGTCACCCAGCCAGGAAGGGTTAGAGTTGAGACTCTAGTACTGTAGGAAGGAGCTCACAGCTGGGTAGGATGCAGTTTTGTGACTCTCCAACCGTGGGCCAGGGTGAGCAGGGTTGCAGTGGAGAAGACTGGGCAGTGGCTGGCATGGGGAGACTGCCTCACACAGTCACTCGGCCACATCTGCCCACTTTAGCGGAGTTCTCCCGCCCCGCCTCAGTCAGTGAGAATCATGACGTGGGGCTTGACGGTGACAAGCGGGAAGATGATGCTGAGTCAGGGGGACGGCGGTCAGAGGCCGAAGAAGGAGAGGTCAGGACCCCCACCAAGATCAAGGAGCTGAAGGTAGGAGCCCACTGGGTTGCCATGTATCCTGCTCCCAGGGGACCTGGATAGTGGGCTGAGGCCTAGACTTAGCCTTGACCCTCAGTGTCCTAATTGTATCCAAGCACCCTTCCTGCGGGGCACACCGTGGACAGGAGCTTGGCCTTGGCCCATATTCCACACCTGGACTTGCAGAGTAGGGTTGGGGTTGGAAGTGGTCCAGCTTCCCTGGGTCGCAGGGAAGTTTCCTGGGAAACATACCCCCTCCCCCATCTTACACGCTCCTTGTATCCCCTTTAATTGTGGTCTGGCTCCATGTCTCCTCTCTTCGCTGTGCATGGCCAGGTCACCAAAGGCCTCGGTGTGAAGTGTGTGTCCTTTCCTGCAGCCCCCCCCCCCCCCACTCTGTGGACACCGCATCCCCAGGATGTGTATGTACACGCTCCTACAGGCACACACAGCCCAGCCTCACGGGTAGCCATTCACTTTCACACCTCCACACCCCAGCCTTAGACTCATCATGCACAGACACGATGATAGCATGTTCACGTGCACAGGCTTGGCCACACACGGGCCAGGCGTGGCTTCTTTGGCATTGCTGAGCAGTCCTTGTCTACCATGCAGGCCTGCAGTGTGAACTCAGGCCCCCTAATCACATCCTCACCGTTAGAAGCAGCAGGAAACCCCGGACACACACCAGCCTGTGAATATGGCTCTACCCACTTGGACTCTAGTCCCCTGGCCTCTCCTTTGCCTTTCTGGGATATCTACCTGCTTCCTACCCCACACCTTCCTCTGACTACCTCGTTACCTTAGCTGCTTTCCTGGCCTGCACTGCATGGTGGGATTGGATGTGAGCGCACAGGGCTACCTTGCTGGACCAGGCTAATCTGTTTATTCTACTGACCTTGCTGGTTCCTTTCCCTCTTGCCTTATCCTACCAGCCGGAGCAGGAAACCACGCCAAGACACAAGCAGGAGGTACTGCATGGACCCATCCCTCCCTTGACAGCCATTTAGATCCCTAGTTCATTTACCACCATGTCACTCTGTCCCCAGCTCATGTCCCTGGCACCACCTCAGCTTCAGCTTCATTCTGACCAACGTCCACACCCTCTCCTCCATTTCCTTCCTCTCTGGTCACAGCACTCCCCATTAAGCTCATGCCTTCAGCTCCCAGGTCAGAGTCTAGTCTCATCCATGGGCCCTGCCCCTCCACCCAGTGTCACTCTTCGCTGGACCTGGTGACCTGCGGTTACCTCCCCCTCATGCCCCCAGCCCACGTGTGTGCTTCCATGTAGCTCCTCATCCCACGCCCACCCTCCCCTTCCCCAGTAGCCCTGTTTGACCACACCTCCATCTCATCTGTGTTCTTCCATCTCTTGACAACCAGATGTGAGTGAAGGTGGAGCCTGGGTTGGGAAGGAGGAGCCCTCAGGTCACATCTGCATCTGCTCAGACTCCAATCCCCCTGCCCTCCTGTCCCTGGATACCTCCTCTCCTTCTCTTCTCTAACCTTCCTAGTCAATGATTATATCAGCTTCTGCCTCCTAACCCCACTTCATCCCCCTCACAGTGTCCAGGTCTCTCTGGAGATGCTGTTTGATCTTGGGCCGCTGAGAGCAGGCCACAGTCAGAGTCAGCCATGGCGTCCTGAGATCTGGGCTTCAGCCCAGCTCTCATGCTGACTTTGGGTCTTAGAAAGGCTCTTTGGGCCCTGATACCATCTGCACCACAGGGCATGCACACTACCTGTGACTCCAGCTATACCTGCCTCGTTCTGGTGCCCGGCCTTGACACTCACCCCTTGGTTTCTTCAAGGCCTTTAACCTCTAGGGATCCCAGGACCCAACCGCTTTCCAGCTTCTGGGAGCATAGTTCACCTCAGGGCCAGCAGGCCCATTTGGGATCATCCTAGGTTAAGACCTACTCACCATTGACGCTTGGTTTTACCCCCTGTGCAAACCCACTTGACCTATCCGATAGACACAGGCTATGGTCAGCTTAGCCTGGGAGGGAGGCCTGAGGCCTGATCAGATGTCTGGGGAGAAATCAGAAGCCTCCATGGGATTGGCTTTCTTCCTGAGAAGTCTTGGGAGCAACCACAGTGATTCTTAGATGCCAGAGATGAGCCTAGGGGAAGAGTCTAGCCCTGTCTAGGGCAAGCTTATCTTCCAGATGGTCCTCAAGCCTTGCAGCGAGTCTTCAGGCTGCCAGCTCACTCTTTCTCTCCAAGAAGCAGGCAGAAGACCAGCACTGGGTCTCTGTGGCTCATTCTCACTGGGCCCAAGCTGACCGCTCCGGTCTGTAACACTGGCATGGACTCAGGTGTCATAGATTAACCAGGGACACACCCGGGACTCCAGCTCTACCTGACCCGTTCTTGTGCCAGGCCTCGAAGCTCATCCTTTCCCTCATCTCTAATTTCTTACCCCACACCAACTTCACTTCCATCCCAGCATCCTGGTCTCCCTGACAGCATATGACTGTCTACTTTTAGAGAGTCGGGGCAGATGGCATCTGGGAGGTTCTGTGATGGAGAAGGCAGTGGCCTATGGCAGAGAAGGCTGCCTAGTCTTTCCCTGGCCCCGAGTAAGGGAACAGGTCCCATTTTTCTGGACAACCCAATTTAGTCATCTCTCTAACCCAGGCTTCCACGTGGCCTGAGCAGTTGGATGGGGCCCGAGAAAAGCCTAGACAGAACATACTATTAAGTACAGTGGTCCAAGTCTTGAGGAGCGGTAGGAGCCAGGATTCAGAGGGTTCTGGGAATCCAGCCAGACAGCCTGTGCAGCTCAGTGAACGCACCAGGGACTTCTCACCTTGGTACATGCTGCCTGCTGTGCCTGGATCATAAACAGGAAAAAGTCATCTGTGTGTCTGACTCCATCTGGGCTCAGAACACAATGAGAACTCATCCAGACTTGAGGGTTGAGTGGAGCTGAATGTACTAGAGTAAGGCAGGGGAGAAGAGGGGTCCTCTTTGTCACCCATGTGCCCCTGCCCCTGCTTAGTGCATCTCTTGGAGTTCATCATCCTTGCTCCCTTGGCTCCTTGGGTTATTATAAGGATGACAGCGTTAGGATGGGATGGTGGAGGGCAGAGGTGCTATTTTTCCCGTGCTGTCTTTGCTCTGCCGTTCATCTTATACCTCTCCCCTCTCCCCCCGTGCCTAGTTCCTGGACAAGCCAGAGGATGTCCTGTTGAAGCACCAGGCCAGCATCAATGAGCTCAAGAGGACCCTGAAGGAGCCCAACAGCAAACTGATCCACCGGGATCGAGATTGGGAGCGGGAGCGCAGGCTGCCCTCGTCACCCGCCTCCCCCTCCCCGAAGGGCACCCCTGAGAAGGCCAGTGAGGTAGGTATCCTGCTGAAGCCTGGACGTTGTATTAAAAGGCACAGGGTAGGGGTACGGAGTTAAGACTATGTTTACCTTCATCCTGCAAACAAATCTGTGCCTGCTGCTGCCATAGGCTGGTGGGATGGGGAGGCAGGTTAGGTTGAGAGGGTCAAATCCACTAACCGCTGGGTCCTAGGGACCATCTTAAAAAACTTTAAAAACTCCTGGTAGCTTGGTGTATTTCCCTTTAGACAAGCAAAGAAAAATAGGGAAAGTGTGCTTGTTAGAAAGACAGGTTCTGAGACCCCATGGGGGACCCGCTGAGGCAGCTGAAGCAGGAAAGCCCTGCGTCCAGCCTTTTAAACAAGTGTCTTAGGCAAGTCTCCTCCCTACTCAACTTTAAGATTCCGGGAAGCATTACCCGGGAGCCTGCTCTTTTGGAGCATCTGACCGTACGGAAGATTGTGGTCCTTGCTGGAAGGATTCTCACTTCATCAAAGCGGTCAATCCTCTACACAAACCAGACTACTCCCGAGGCTTTCCCCAAAAGAGCCCCATGTGTCCTGCCATCCAGGGTGGAAACACTCTGAGGGTATTTTCTCAGCTAAAAAAGATATGATTTGGGAAAATCCTGTATTTGTACTCCCAAGGTTCAATTCAATTATTTTTAGCAATTTCTGAGTCTTGGCAGAATTTACCCCCCAGTTCCAGTGTAGGTGTCTTCTCTCTTTAGCTGCCGCTCACTGGTCACCAGATGGATTGCCGTCTAAACTTAGTCTCCTGGTTCCATTACCTGGGAGCTGGAGGACTCTGGGCTTGTTGCCTCATCTCCCCGAGGCCCTGTTAGGTGAAGATGTTTATAGTGATGTTATTAGGGTCAGCCGAGATAATGCCTGGAGAGGGATCACACGGCCACCATGCTGTCTGGTAGGAGCTACATGGCGTTCCTTATGGAGTCCCAGGACTCAACCTTGCAGATCTCTAAATCAAAGCTGGAAGGACACTAGGAACCCTCTCTGTTCTAAGACCTCGTGTTACTGAGACCCAGAGAGACGAAGAATGACTCAGCGTGATAGCTATGCTTGTCGGTGTTCCCCAACATTGTTTGCTGGTAATTCACAGCCTGCTTGAGGGAAGACCAAATCGCATGCAGACCAGAGGTAGTTGGTAGTGTATGTGCTTTCTCTCTAGTGCTTTGGATGTTGGTGATGCAGCCATGATTGAATCTGTAGAGTGTTGATTGAACTGGTCCTCGCCATAGTCTGAGCCCACCAAATAGCAGAGGGTTTCTTTTGTCAGGTATAACCTCTTGAGATGGCTGGAATTCCATAGCTGCCAAAGTCCAGCAGTTAGGGATTCTTTGGGGGTCTTGAAGGCTGGTACCCTAAAGAGAAGACAAATCTGTGCACCTATGAACAGAGGGGGCACACTTAAACACTGTGACACGACACTGTCGTCTACACGTGTATGGATCAGCTGTTGTGGTTACCCAGCATGCACACAGCCCCCAGGCTGGAGGTTGAGCAGGCCTCTGAGGGCTTCTGTGGTCCCAGCACAGACAAACCCTTAGACTGGGCCGTGGCTGTGATGTAGTAAGCTGGTCCACAGCACTCTCCTCTCGACCCCTCATTCCCTAGGGAGAGACTTGGCCAGAGTGACCTCTCAAAGTCCTGAGATGGCCAGGTCTTGGCCTGGGTCCAATTGAACTGTGATGTAGAAACCTCCCGAAGGGTGTGAGATGTCACCAGAGAAAGGAGCGGCAGATGAATGCTGGTGAGCTAGGACCTGGAATTGGGGTTGTGCCCCTCCTGCTGGTGACAGCTGGAACTGCTGGCTAGGGACCTTATTAGATGGAAGCTGTTCCAGCCACCACCTCCTTAGCCTTGAAAACTGCAGTAGCCACTCCTGTCAACTACATTGAAGTTATGAACCATTTAGAACTTTCCTTTATGCCCCTTGGCATTTATGGGTTCTTGAAGATTGGCAAAATTGGGAGGATCCATAGACAAGGACTTGACTCTGTCCTTGGGTGAGTGATGTCACCTCTGTGAACCTCCTTGCATAGGCCATCTGAAAGGGGAACCAGAATGGCATTCCATTGGGTGGGGGTCATTGGCAAACCTAACTGAAATAGCAAAGATGGAAGCTCGTTGTCCCCTAGGAAGTGTTGACGGTTATGGGACCACTGCTGAAGGTGACTAGAATCCCTGGCCTAATGGCTCTGTGGAGGACCCTGTAGGGACACACTGCCCAGAACTCTCAGAGCCGTCTTAAAGCATGTGTGCCCCACCCAAACCAAGGGGAAAGCAGCAGGAACTTGAGCAATTCCCATTGGGCAAGCCTAGGTTTTAGTTTGAATGACAGTTATGTGTGGGTGGTGTAGGTGTATATGTGTTCGTGTGGGGGTGTGCACATGTGCAGTGCACATGTGTGTGTGTGTGTGCATTCATGTGGAGGCCAGAGGCGCTGGGTATCTTCCTCAGTCATTCTTTATTTTTTTTTATTATATTTTTATTTATGTGTGTATGTGTCTCTGTGTGTGTGTGTATCTGTGTGTGCAATGTGTATGTATGCAATATGTGTGTGTGTGTTTGTGTATGCGTCTGTGTGTGGTGTGTATGGAGGTCAGAGGACAACTTTTGAGAGTCTCTCGTTCCTCCATGCAGGTCCTGGGGATTGAACTTGGGTTTTCAGGCTTGGCAACGGGCACTTTCACCCACCGAGTGCCAGCCTCTCCACTGTATTTTTTGAGACAAAGCCTCTCACTGAGCCTGGAGTTCACTGCCTGTCTCCACCTCCCCTGAGTTGGGATTACATACGTGTACTGCAACACCTGGCTGTTTTCACAGGTGCTGGGGATCTGATCCCAAATCCTCCTGCCTGCATAAGAATTTTGCTAATTGTGGTGTCTCCTCAGCTTCTCAAAAGAGATGACTGTGACCCCAGTTACAGGGTCAAACCAAAGTCTGAGCCCATGACACCTCGGGCTGACTTGAAGTCAGAGTCTAAATGGTAGGATTCCAGACGCTTTAGTGTTAGTGGGCACGAGAGACTGGCCAAAGGCCACAGGACTGTCTCACAGCCAATCACAACTGTCCCTCCCTGTCTCCTCCCTCAGAGTGGCTCCTTCCTGACTGAATCTGTGAACTAACAAGACAATGTGGGGCTTCCAAAGCTGGACTATTTACAGACTCTGTGTGTCTCTTCTCTCCTGCTCTCTCTCTCTTTTCCTTTCTCCCTCTCTCCCTCTACTCCGGCCCTGGGCCTCCCCTGCAGGCCCAGAGGACCCAGGACTCTTCTCAGCAGGACTTGGTACCTGGAACAGCAGCAGGCTTGGAAGTGTTCACTCAGAAAAGCCTCGCAGCATCTCCTGAGGTTACTGTCTTCACTTCCCCACACCCCTTCCTCCCAGGCCTCCAGCCCATCCCTGTCGGTCCTCCGGGATCTAAGGAAACCCTTTCCCTAGGGTGAGGGGAATAGGCCAGACTCTGCCGTAAAGAAGAGATCAGGGGTGGCCCATGTTGTCCCATGTTATAAATGTCATGTCCTCATCCCAGGGATCCATGGAGGGCCAGCCCCTCCGTTACCTGTTGCTTACCAGGAAGGGCAGGATCATAGCTATAACCAGAAAACATAACTGGTCTCCTCTATCTCAAAAGGGACAAAGATATGAGCCTCTCTGGAGGCAGGCTCTAACCCTAGGCTTGAGTGTGTCCTGCCCTGAGGTCTTGGTTCTGTTTAGAAGCCTGCTGTAGTCTATGGGTGGCTTGTTAGGGTGTGGTATTAATCCTTCCCCTTTTCCCAACTATCTAACCCCATCTGAGACATTGATCTGAGTCTCCAGTCAGGCAGAAATAGATACCTTCCTCCTCCAAACATCCTTCTAAATGAGGAGTTCTTTGTTTCTGGGTTCAGAGGAGCAGCAGGTCAAGGGTTCTTGGGGTTTCCTGTGTCCCTGTGTGGATACTAGGGATGGACTCCCCATATCCCATCCCACCCGCACACTGGGATTACATAGTCTGTTGAGTTGGGAACCAACTGACTTGAGAAACATCCTTCATGTAGCCTCTGCCCTGTCTGTTGGTATGGCTCGTGATGGCATGGACCCTTCTCCTTCTGCAGAGAATACTTGTGTAGCTGCTGTGAGTGTCGTGACTGCCAGAGGGGCATGAGCAAGTGCCACACAAGGAAAATGCAAACCAAAGCTCTTCCCCCATGGAAACCGGAAAGCAAACCTATCAGGGCAATGAGACAGGAGCCCAGAGCATCCCAGAGTTAGGGACATGGTAATGTCCTGGTGTCTGGAGATACTTTTAGAAACAAAGACGATGCCTGTTTGGGGAGTGAGCCAAGATGTGAGCCTTTTATCAATGGCGTCCATCTCACTGCCCTTAAGAGCAGCCTGTTTTGTGTATTCATCCACAGGAGCAGCCAGTCATTCTGTCATTTGTTCCCATCTTCCTGTTTCCTTCCCCTCCTCCATCTTATTCTTCTTTCCACGAGGCCTTTCTGTGTTACCCTGACTGGACTCAAGTTTGTGGTCCTCCTGCTTTGGTCTCCCAAGTGCTGGGCATGAAATTTTATTAAGGTTGACCAAAATCTGCCCTTTGGATCAGTTGCCTGTGAGCGTCCTCTTGCCTCCTGGTGGCCATGGACCCACTCTGCAGCCTCCCTGAGGGACACCCTTCAGATTGGTCACTTTCCTTCTGCACCCCTTCCAACAGCTTCTCCCAGGATGTGAATTCAAGAGAACCCTCTTCCTGGACATCCTCTGACCCCAAATGTAATCCAGAGTTCCAGGTAGGGCCTGAACAGCCAAGAGTCAGGGTAGTCACCCTCTGGAGTTCCTTCTTGTCTGGCATGAAGCAGCACTGTCCCCTTGTCCTGCTCCTGTGGCTGGAGCAGAGGCGGTGCCATCAGGTAGCAGGAGGTAGTCTAAGGAGGGCACTGAAGAACCAGATGTTGCCCCATCTTGTGATGAGGGCCAGATGTGGCTTTACCAGCACACTAGTGCCAGTAAGGCTGTCCTTTTCTTTTTGTAAATCCTGCCCACCCCCATGTCCTTAACTGTTGTTTTTTAGCAGAAGAACCCTTGTTTCTTCCCTCACCACGACTGTGATCTGCAAATCCCCTTAATGGTAGCCCTACTTTGCCCTTCTGAAACAAAGTTGCCAATTGGAGTAAATTTAATTATGTAGATGAGGGTTGGTGCTGCCTGGCATCTAATAACTAAACATTGCCATGTGTTTCCCTTCTCTGCCTCTAGAATCTTTCCAGTTCTCGCCAGCTTCCTCCCCCACACAGCGTTGCTCATCTAGCATATTTGGTAGATGGGATTGGAGTGGGAATATTCCAGGAGGGGCTTCTTTGGCCAACTTTGACCGTCATCACTAGGCTGATGATGTTAAGAGCTGAAATGGAAGCAGCTGGTAGAACTTGCTTCCTAAAATGAGAAGGGTCCTTACCTCTGCAGGCCAGCAGAACACGTCCCTTTGAGAGTTCAGGCGCAGATGCCTGAAACGTCTGAGAAAGCCATGCCAGACCGTGTCTGGACCTCCCTTCCTTTGATCTCTTCCCCCCGGAAAGATTCTGTCAATGAGGTTAGATTGCCTGACCTGGTAATAGGATTCGCAGTGTTCTTTTGAACCTTCCAGCTCCTTCAGGTCTCATGGGTGTGGCAAACTTAGCACCAAGTCACACCCCGAAAAGAAGCCCAAAGTCGTGTAAGCCTCTGGTCTCCTGCTTCTGGGAGAAGTGTCAGGCGCACCTGTTATGGAGGCAGTTTTGCTAGGGCAGGAAGGTTAAACTTTAAAAACTCAGAATCAAGTGTTGGGTTCTAGGCTCCATGACTCGGCGGTCGAGTGGCTTTCCTTCCCTAGGCCTAGATTTGGAAGTTGATTTCCATGTCTGCCTCATTGTGACTTCAGAGGAAGGAGGGATCTTAAGTCTGTGATCTTAAGCCCATGCAGGACTGCAACTTTCATAGGGCTGCTCAGTGTTTGCATTATGCATTTGTCAGATGGGATTCTGATGAGATTTTGTGGAGAGAAAGTATTCTGTGAGCCCAATACTAAAATCCCAAAGCTCTTACGACTTTGCTAATGATTTGAGAAACCCATCAGTACCTCTAAGCTGCTGGGGACAGGTAGAGGACTATTCTGGGAAGTTTGATAGTGACAGACTTGATGGTCTCTTTGGCTTTGTGATGATGTCCTCTGTGGTCTTTTTCTTCTGTGGTACGATCTGGTTAGTTCTTTTCTATTCTTTCCATCGGTCTTAAAATCATTTCTTTTAAGTGGATTCCCAGAACATTCAGACTGTTTTAGCCATTGCTTCAGTGGTGCTAACTGACTGTTTGGTATCATTGCTGTTGATCTGTTTCTTTCCCAGAAGTCCCTGTAGAGGGGTCGTGTTTTAGGCAGGGCCTGTGAAATACAGTTCACTGTTTCCCTCAGCTTGGTATCCGATCCCAGTTGGCACCCATGCTCAAGGTTGTGAGTTAAGAGTTCAGGCATAAAAAAGCAGCTGTTCTTTTCCTGGCTTTGCCATCAGCAAACAATGGCCGCAACCAAGTCATTTTCCTTCTCTAGACCTCAGCCCCTTCGCCTTCCTCCCCCCACCCCGAAGGAGGTGACACTGGATGTCTTTGGAGCTCTTTTGGCTCAATATCCAGAGATCCCTTGTAAGCGCCTTCCCCGCAACAGTGGGAAATGTTCAGTTCCAAGAGGAAGAGGCCGGTCCCACCCCTAGAGCTCCCTTTGCTGTTGTCCCTGGGCTGAGAGGCACAAAACCCCACCCCACTGTATCGGGATGAAACCAGTTATTGAAGAAGGTCAGTCAGTTTATTGGGGATCTTACTGGGAAAAAGAATTTTGATCATGAGGAATAGCTTTATCACCCCGGTCTGCCCCTGGCCAGTTCCTAGAACACATAGTCCCAGTGGCAAACCCTTTGGTGGTAGATTGGTCCCTTCTTATAGAGGGAAGAGGTCATCCCTTCAAGTGCCTGCTGTTTCATGTTAACTCTTCTTGCTCCAATTAAAACACAGGGCTCAGAGCATTGGGTATTTGTAGAAAGAGTATACACTAGGCCAGAAGAACTTGGCCTCCTAACCGTGGCCACCACACAACGGGAAGGAAGTGAGGCAGGCCTCGCTGAGATCCTTGCTGATGGCAGACTCTCCAAGGTAGACATTCTGGTGGACAAGTTCAAAGTTGAAGTGGCCACAGAAGAAACAGTGGGAGCCGGAAGAGCAAGTACTCACCAGCCAGGGAGGATGATTGCAAGTCCAGGAGAGTTTGAGACAATGAGAGGGGAAGGCCCGTGTGTCAAGGGAGGCACCCGAGAGACTGCTCAAGCTGCAGGCTACACGTCAACAGACAAGCTTCCTGAGGGCTCCAAGCCCAAGGTCAGGAGCTACCGCATCTCAGATGGTCAGCCAGAGAGCCCAGTAGAGCTGAGTAAGGGGCTGGAGGGGCTCCAGACTTGGGGAAGACCTACAGCTCCAGGGACCGGGCCAGTGCAAGGAGAAGTTCTTTCTCCTGCATCAGACAAAGGAGGACTCCAGTCTTTCCTGTTGGATCCAGCCCAGGCAGAAGCCAGAGCTGACTCCAGCGATGAAACGGATACCTCCTTCGCAGAGAGGAGCTTCTACCTAAACTATGGAGAGAAAGACACTGAAGAAGTTCTTCCTCTACCCTCAGAGGACAGAGAAGAGCGCCTACATGCCCCTCTTGGAGATGGGACCTGGCTGGAGCTGGCAGGGGAGCACACGGAGCACTGGGAGCTGAAATCCTCAGCCCCAAGGGGTTCTGCCCCAGGTTCCAGCTGGAATAAAGATGAAGCCCATATGGCTTCCTCCGAGGAAGAAGCCTGGTCCTCCAGGGACCGTGGGGGGCCTGGTGACCTACAGGGAGCTGCTCTGGGGCAGATTTTTGCAGAGGCCTGGGAAGGAGCGCAGCAAAGGCCAGAAGGAGAGCTGACCTACCCAATGGCCGGGGCAGCTGAAGACGAGGAGACTCCCATGAGTATAGACCGGATGGGAGAGACTGAGAGAAGTTCCCCAGCAAGACAGAAGAATCACCCCCCTGGTGGAGGAGGAGAGGTGCACCTAGATGCCCAGGCCTGCGCCCTTCTAAGGACCATTCCTCCTCATGTTAGGAAACCAGTCAGGCGAGACCAAAGCAGCTTTCTGCCCATCGAGAAGAGGGCAGTTTCCGCTCAGGCTGTAGAACCCATGACCGAGGACAGGGAGGTCATCATTCCGCTGCCAGCCTCCTCTGGTCACATGGATGTTCTGGCAGTTGTGAGGGGCACTTCTCAAAGCCCAATCTCTCCTGGGTCAGGGAAGCCTTCAGAGTTTGGGGATCCTTTTGGAGATCAGTTCCCCATAATTTGCAAACATATCCATCTTTCTGAAGCAAGCCCCGCGCCCAAGGACACGCGAGGTGAACGCAAAGCACCTCCAGTTGCCAGCAAGAAGCCCAGAGTTGTCCCTGAAGGAACTGAGGGGCCTGCAGTCCCGGGGTTTGTGTTCCCTTCAGAAAAGCAAAAGGAGACTTCCCTCCAGGCTGGGGACCATAGGGGTTCCCAGGAAGATATTAGCAAGACCTCAGTGGCTAACAAGATTCGGATATTTGAGACCCATGGAGTTGAGTCATGCCAAGCCAGTCAGGGTGAAATGAGGGCCCTTCCACATGAGCTGCCTTCGGAGGCTTCCCCAGGAGAAGTAGAACATCGGCAAAATAGGCTTCTAGACTCGGGTTTTGTTCAACTCCAGCCCCCTGAGGACTTGGCCAGCCCCAAACTCACACCTTCTTCTGGTACACCTCTGGCTACTCAGCACTATGGGGGGGAGGGCACCTCTGCTACCTCCCACCAGGAAAGATGCACAGACCCAGAGCTCCTGTCCCCTGACTCAGGCTGTGAAACCACGCTGGAAGAAGCTACTGGGGTAACTGGCCATGTGAGCCCCCACCCCCACCAAGTCCCCACTTGTGGAAACTGACCGCATGCTCTGTAGCTCTTAGAGGCATGTTTTGGTGGCCCCTCGTCATTCCTGCAATGATGCTGCTTGTTCACCCCACAAGGTCTTCTCCTACATGGTCCTGAGATAGCCCAGGCTGAAAGATGGGGCCGTCTGCTTAGCCCTTGTTAGCTTGTTTGATCCCCCGGCCTTTGGTGTGACCTTGTGTCCAGAAGGTCACACAACAACCACAGAGAAGGCGCCACCAGTAGCAGTAACTCACATATCTGCTTTGCCTTGCTCGTCTCACCTGCTAAATTCCTCCCTATCTTGCTTGGCTTATCCGGTGATCTTTCTTCGTCCTTTCCCATCCCTGGTACCCTGCCTTGTGGAAGCTGACAGTCCAGAGGTTGCCTCCACTCTGCTTCCCTCTCTAGTGTCTTTCTGCCTCCTTAAGACTAACTGTCTTCTCTAATCCAGAACAAATCCGGAGATGCGGGCAGGGAAGAGAAGAGCTTCTTCAGCCGCTTAGCACCAAACACCCCTGGGAAGGGGGGGCGCCTGAGATTCGCCAGCCCTCCGGGCCCTCAGGTCTCTACAGTCCCACTGTGCCTAGATGACTTGTTCATCTTCATCCGGCTGGGATGCTTCATTCCCTAGATTCCCACCTGCTCAAGTAGCCAACCCCCTGTGGCTGTTCACAGTCTGGCTTGTCTGGAATGTGTTCCTCACACCTCTCAACCTTCCAGAACCTGGCCAATGGGAGGCTGGTTCACAAATGAATCTCTGAAGCATACTGTCTGAAGCATACTGAACCTCCAGAGCCCGAAGCTGAGTTTTTTCAAAACATTTTATGGGTGTTAGATTGGTCTTTAAAAAAAAAGTCGCAGTGCCGGGCGGTGGTGGCTCACGCCTTTAATCCCAGCACTTGGGAGGCAGAGACAGGCGGATCTCTGTGAGTTCGAGACCAGCCTGGTCTACAAGAGCTAGTTCCAGGACAGGCTCCACAGCCACAGAGAAACCCTGTCTCGAAAAACCAAAAAAAAAAAAAAAAAAGTCTCAAACTAAGACAAAGAAATAATAAGTAAGCAAATAAGCAGAGCCATGTGTTGTTTAATCCCTGACAGGCCAGTTGAGAGGTATGTATTTAGGACAAAGTTTGCTAGTGCTCTTTGGGCATTCCCTTGGCCTGCTGTCGTCAATTACACTGATGGGGCCAGAACTTCCTCTCCATGGTTACCATAGAGTTCAAAGTGATACTGAACTCTCTTGGAGCTAGAATTTCTCCTTTCCCTGGTTGATGCTGGCCCTCCCCCAAAAGACTCAGTGCAATTGACAGGCTGCTGACTTCTGTGTTCCTCAAGCTCCCAGCTTCAGCCTCTTTGCCTCCTCTCCTGAATTCCTCTGAATCCCTGCCCTCCTTCCTCAGTTTACCTCTCAATGCCTCCAGCACGGATGGGCCTGTGGTCCAGGCCTCCATCCCTGCCTTTCGCACAGTGCTGCTTCTGATAGGCTTTCGGATCCTAGCCTTGGAGGGGGCCTCCTGTCCAGAGCTCGCTGGAAGGATGCCAGCTTGCTTTGCCGTCCTTGCAAGACCCTCCAAAGGAGCATCCCCTCTCTGAGAAGTTTTTGTTTCATTTTGTTTTGTGCTAGATTCCAAGGAAAGCTTCCTGGGGCGTGTTTTTCATTTCCTGACCTGCTCTTCCATTTGAGAACATCGTCGCAGCCTTGAGATTCCTTCTGACATTCTTCTGACTATCTTGACCTCTCTCTCTCTCCCTACCCCGTATCCCCATTTCCCTGGTTTTATCTGGCCATAGAGAGCAGGGCTGAGGGAGGGCTCGGAGGAGAAAGTCAAACCACCACGTCCTCGTGCTCCAGAGAGTGACACAGGAGATGAGGACCAGGACCAGGAGAGGGATGCAGTCTTCTTGAAGGACAACCACCTGGCCATCGAACGCAAGTGCTCCAGCATAACGGTCAGCTCCACATCCAGCCTGGAGGCTGAGGTGGACTTCACGGTTATTGGTGACTACCACGGCAGCGCTTTCGAAGACTTCTCCCGAAGCCTCCCCGAGCTCGACCGGGATAAGAGCGACTCTGAGACCGAAGGCCTGGTGTTCTCCCGGGATCTCAAGGGGCCCTCCAGCCAAGAGGACGAGTCTGGGGGAATCGAGGACAGTCCAGATCGAGGGGCCTGCTCCACCCCAGAAATGCCCCAGTTTGAGGTACAGTGGAGCTTTGTGGAGATCCAGTCCAAAGGGGCACTGCATGTTCGGAGGGCCCTGGGCCATGAGAAGACCAGCCATCAGCTGCAGCCTGAAGCTCTGTCTGGTGTTGCATGACTCCCCCTCCGTAGAACAGCATGGTTCTGCGACCGCATGTTTTTTGTGTCGGTTCACCCCTAACACACGCCCCATGGTGTTTTAACCCTGTGACCCCATCGCTTGCTGAGGTCAAGTGATGCCAGTCTTACCGACGACTCCTCGGCCCCCTGCCCGTGTTGCATGGCACCTGCAGAGAGCATGTGTCTGTGGACTCTCGAGGCTCCCATAGCTGGTCTGAAACCTGAGTGGTTTCTCTTGATTCAGGCCAGGGCTCGTTTTCCCAGGGCCTGCAGAAGAGGCCGTTATTTAAACCCGTCAGGTCCTGAGACCTCGGTATGGAGTGGACACTCCAGGAAAAGAGAAGACACAGCCTTTGGGCAGGAGGCAGGGCCAGCATCTGGGTTTCTCTGCTTTGAGACCCCTTGGTTTTCAGAAACTCATCCTTGCCCTTTACCTCTAGCTCCCTCCCTTCCTCCGTCCCTCCTTCCCTCCCTCCCTCCCTCCCTCCCTCCCTCCCTCCCTCCCTCCCTCCCAGGCAGTGATCACCAGCTCATCCATCCAGGACTCTTGCTCCATGCTGTACCCTCTAGGCAGAAGAACTGTCGTTCCTTTCTGTGCCTCCCTTACAGTGATCAGGACGGAACTCACACATCCCTTCTCCATGCTTTTCTGGCCACCCGGGTGGCAGTACTGTCCCCACCACATCCTGCTCCGCCCTGCCTTGCTTTGACTAACATTTCCCCAGCACAGTCAGGACAGTGGCGGGTGGCTCTGCCCTCCCGCCAGGTGCCAGCTGCTGTAAGGCTGGCTCACACTCAGCACTAAGGGATGATTAATTGAACGAGCGACTAGATCACAGGATTCTGGAAGAATCCCTCCTTTCTCCCTCTTCTTTCCAACTACATGACAAGCTAGGCTCCATTCATCAAACCTGCAGTGTGTATAGCCATGAACTAGGCCTAGGAGAAGACTCCAAAGAAACTGGGCATGTGGCTTGAGTCACACGAGTCCGGTTTGTAAGCTGGTCTCCCTGGGCCGCAGGAGGCCAACTGATGTGTTTTCTCTGGCTTTAATTTAAAAATCACAACACTACATTTCCTTATAAAATAAATAAATAATAAATAAATAAATGGGTATAATAGACAGACAGACAGACAGACAGAGCAGAGGCTGTGCTAAAAGCCAAACCTGAGCAGAACGGCACTTGCTTTCTGTTTCTCTCGGCCAGCTAACCCCCTCACCAGTTTCCATTGCTGTCTGGCCCTGGATATTTCCATGTGTGTAATTCTTGCCTTGAATAGTGGTTTACCTGAAGCGGCAATATGTCTGGAAGAAAAACTCTGAGCACCGAGTTTAGCCGTCCTTTTAGTGCAGCCTCAGAAAGACATGTGGCCCCTGGGGCATGGGGTCAGGCCTTCTTCATGCTGGGAGTGGCGTTGGCTCCTCCTGCATCCCAGTTGCCTGTGAACAGGAGTTGTGCCTGGGCTTGAGTTTTCAGGTGTCCCCTTCATGTCTCCGTAGTCCGTGAAAGCAGAAACCATGACCGTCAGCAGTCTGGCCATCAGAAAGAAGATCGAGCCGGAGGCCATGCTGCAGAGCCGAGTCTCTGCTGCAGACAGCACCCAGGTAACCTGCGCCTCCTCTGTAGCCTGACATGGGGATCGGGCATTTGAGGGAAGGTCGTCAGTAAATGGCCAAGCCCTTTGGTCAGCCTTTTCCTTCCCTCATCCTCCCTGAGGGCTGAGGTGGTAATGGTGGGGAAAAACCGTGCTTCTTAAAGCCCAGTGTCCCCATCTGTAAATGAGGGTGATCCTGCTTCCTTCCTCCTGGGAGTGTTCAACACTCACGGTGGCTTGACAGGGGTGGAGAGGTTCTGCCCCAAGGTGGCTTGGGGGAGAGAAAAGGAGAAATCTCATCGCTGTTCAATCAGAACAGCTCACCTGGGTCACTTCTTATGCATGGAGGTTCTACTTTAGATTGGCAAGATGAACAAACCAAGGTCAAATAATTGAAGGTGTCTGTGTTAGTGAGTCGAAGCTCACTTGCACCCCGGGACAGCTGGCCTGCCTAGACACAGCCCACAACTTAACACATACTTTCCATGTGTCCTCTGTGGGCCTTTAGATCTGAAGGCTTATAGGGCTGAGTTTGTGGGTCTGGAAGATGGCCCCTAATTTTTCTTGCCCAGAAGGGCTACAGTGCTCAGTCCCTTCTCCTGGTGACCAATCTTTGTCTTGGCTGCAAGAAGGACTGAGCAGATGGGTTGGTCATTGGCAGAGCCTTGCCCTGGCTTCCACCCCCAGCACAAACAACCTGAAATATGACACAGAGTAGCACAAGTGACTGTCATTTCCAGCATCCTTTTTTTTTTTTTTTTTTTGATTTTCGAGACAGGGTTTCTCTGTAGCTTTTGGTTCCTGTCCTGGAACTAGCTCTTGTAGACCAGGCTGGCCTTGAACTCACAGAGATCCGCCTGCCTCTGCCTCCCGAGTGCTGGGATTAAAGGCGTGCGCCACCACTGCCCGGCTTCCAGCATCTTTTTGTCCTGCTGCTCCAGCGTGCGAACTAACGGCTGTACAGGTGTCTCGCGCCACGGGAGTATCATGAGCTGGGTCACCTTGGACAACCCGCTTGTCTTCTCTGACTTGCTTTGTTTTCGTAGCTTTTGTTTTAATGCAAAGTATAAAGAAACCAAAATGACCTCAAACCCCATAACCTGGTAGCTCTTTGTCATCAAAATGTCAGAAGACTGACATCGTTTTTTATGCTGTCGTGGGGGGGGGTGGAGAATAGGCGTAATGCCAACAGAGATATTCATATCTGCTTCTATTTAAAATTATTAGATCCGAGTCACCTCTGCCTTACACCATACCCTTTGCTCTCAGGTAGTTTAGAACTTACTCATGTGTCTCCGTCTCTCTGCCACTCCCTCTGTCTCTCACCTCATGAGGACAGGGTTCCTACCAGCTATCCCAGGCTGGCCTCAGACTTACTGTGCAGCTGAGGATGACCTTGAACTTTTGATCCTCTTGCTTCAGTCTCCCCGTGCTGGGGTTACAGGTTGTATCATATCCAATTGGTTGTTTTTTTGTTTTGTTTTGTTTTAATGGGGCCTGGGAGTTAAACCCAAGCTTCATGCATGCTAAGCAAGCACTTTACCACCTGTGCTACGACCCCAGCCCTGTGTCCACTATTCCAAGTCCACTTAGGAAGCATGTCCTAACTTGTGTGGTGGGTTTTATTTCTGCTAAAGTCTCCTTGTTCATGTTTCTTGGAGAACTTTTAAAAAGCACCAGTTTCTGTTGTAGTATAAAACACCATGGCCAAAAACACCGAGAAGGAAAGGGTTTATTTGGGTTCACAGCTCTCAGGTCATGAGCCATCACTGAGGAAAGTCAAGGCAGGAATTTCAGACAGGAACCTAGAGGTGGGAACTGAAGCAAAGGCCATGGAGGAGCGCTGCTTCCTGGTTGCTCCTCATAACTTGCTCGGTCTACTTTTTTTTTTTTTTTTTTGGCATTGGTTTTTCAAGACAGGGTTTCTCTATGTAACCCTGGCTGTCCTGGAACTAGCTCTGTAGAATCAAGCTGATTTTGAACTCATAGAGATCAGCCTGCCTTTGTCTCCTGAATGCTGGGATTAAAGGTGTGAGCCACCACCATCCAGCTTCAGCCTTGTTCTTATACCATCCAGGACCAGCTTGCCCAAGGATGGTTCTGCCTCCGGTGATCTGGGTCTTCCCACATCAGTCAAGAGAATGCCTGGAAGACTTGCCTACAGGCCAGTCTTGTGGAGGCATATTCCCAGTTGAGAATCCCTTTTCCCAAAATGACTCTAGCTTGTGTCAAGTTGACATAAAACCAACCAACATGCCATGTTAACTTCCCATGGGTTGCTAAATCAAAGCTTGGGTAGAATTCATCAACTTAGATGTGGTCACCCTTCCTTTGTTCAGTAGCACAGTGAAATGGACCCTGTGAAGAGCCTTGGGGCCCTCTAAAGTGCTCCGTGACCACCCCCGGTGCACGCCCCCACTCACGAAGCTTGTCACTTTGTAACTGGGACTGCCACAAGCCAGGTGACATAGTCTCTAATGCCTCCTCCTCTGCTTCTCAGGTTGATGGGGGTGCCCCCGTGGGGAAAGACTTCATGGTGACCCCCCCTTGCATCACCACAGAGACAGTCTCCACCACTATGGTAAGTGGGATCAGGCGATTCCTCTCTCTGACTCACCCCTCATTCCCCACAACAGCCAGAACTTGGCAGCTGTTTCAGGAAGATCTTAGCTGCCCTCATGGTGGTGAGACAGATGACTGGATTCCTGTTGTCTGGTTCCTTGGATGCCTTTGTACATAGTGTAGTCAGTCTTTGGTTTTCCAGATTGAATAACGTTGGGAGTGGAGTCCCAGAGTCGCAGTTATCCAGGCCCTCTCAGCCATGCAGGAGTAGAGGGAGGGTAGAATGGCCTGATTCTCGGCCTGCAGGAATCTTACAATACCAGGTGACTTTTACCTGCAGGTAGACATTAGCCTGAAAGCCCCACCCCACTCCTATCCTGACAGCAAACCCAAACCAGTCACCAGCAGTTTCAGAACACTTTCTCACTGTGACCAGTAGATGGCAGCAGTGAACCTGGGTTGGAAACACAGAGGTTTTGGATGCCTTCTAAAGGGACCTTGCAGAATTTGCTGTTTATTTGCTGTCTAACCAGTAAAGTCCTTGGCTTCCAGTGTCCTCATCTATAAAACAGGAGTCACCCCATTCTGTGTGGCTCACAGCTTCTTATGAGACTCTAATGCAGTGGTTCTCAACCTTCCTGAGGCTGTGACTCTAACACAGTTCCTCATGGTTTGGCGACCCCCAAACCATAAAATTATTTCATTGCTACTTCATAACTGTAATCTTTCTACTGTTATGATTTACAATGTAAATATCTGATATGCAGAATATCTAATATGTGACCCTTGTGGAGGTTGAGACCCACAGGCTGAGAACCACTACTCTACAGCCCGTAACAATGAAATCGAACAGACAGCATATTCGAACCAGGTTGTGGTGCCAGGCAGTCCCCAGAGATGTCTGACCTTTGGGTTATAAACTGTGGTATCCATTGTTCTTTCTTTGACATCCTTTACAAATGAGAAAACAAGTTCAGGGGGAAATAAAGGCATGAACCCAAGGTCACATGACCAATAAATCCCAGTTTAGCCTCAGGCACTCTGACACCAGAAGTCTCAGTTTCATTGGCGGTCACTCTGCTCTGCCCCTGTCCTGACCTGTGTGAACATCAGCTTTATGGGTCTGGGGCTGTAGAGTGTAGCAATGTCTGATCCAGATATTTCCTGAGCTAGAGAGTTGTTTTTGAATGGCTTCCCTTGTCTGACCCCTGACCTCTACCGGAGAAGATGGTTTAAGTCAGAGTACTCAGCAGGTGGGTTGTTTTAAGAAATCAGTCTCTACGATCAGTACTTTAAATCAGTCACCAGAGGGCACCATTTCCCTTGTGGGTCAGTTCTTGCTCTCTCCAAACCGTTACTCTGAGGCATTGAGATACTTGTAAGGAAACATTTAGATTCCTCTTCATGGTGAGTAGACAGCTACTCCATCCATTTCCTCATCCATCCATCCATCTGTCCATTTGTCCAGAAAACATTGATGAGTCTGCTGTCTGCCTAGCACAGGGACCCCGTGCTGCAGAGGCCCCCCTGCCTACAGGATTCTTTGTTCAGTTGTCATCACAGTACCTGTCTGTATGTCCGTCTTGGGCACGCAATGATGAGCAAGGCCCAACCCTCACTTTGGGCAAGTCACCTGCACCTCCCAAACCCTTTACTACCGTTTCTGTAAAGTGGGGTGGACACAATACAGCCTTTAAGGGCTCCTGCAAGCTTGAGCAAGTACCCTGTGCAGAGTCCCCGAGCACAACCTGGCCTTGGTGTCCCCAGGTGTCAGCTGCTGCTGTCTCTCTCCTGCCTTCATGGAACAGTGCAACAGAGTTACCTTAGGGGCCACTGGGATGAAGCTGTGAGTGACATCTCTGCTAGGAGGATCTGGGGAAGGTGTCACCCAGGCAGGGACAGGAGAGCTGTGAGTGAGGGATGGCTTGAGGTGTGGTCACAGGAGAAGACTTCCAGCTGTGGAGAGCAGACCTAAGGGCAGGAAGCACATCTGGCTGGTAGGTGTGTACAGGAGGAGGAGAGGGCGGTGGAGAGGACTGCAAAGAAGAACTGAACCAGAGCTTGAAGTGTTCCCAATGCCATGTAGGATGGTTTAAACTTTGTCCTGGGGACAACAGGGCAATAGTGTTTCTAGAGTAGAAGCCTGTCGTTAGCTGCGTGTGTTGGTTATGTTATCAGCTTGTGTGAGTGTGGCCTGGACCTTTAATAAATATTTATTGAATACCCACGATATTCGAGGTACTGTGAATCCAGTCCTGGAGGAGACAGCATCTCTAGCCCTGGGGCCCACGTTAGGCCAGAGAGAGAAGGTGGGAAACTGTCTGAGGGTTGCTGGTGTCCAGCAGGGGCACTGCCAGGGTTGAAGAAGGTAGGTGCCCCCGAGTTAGGGATTGGAGATCCTGGAGTAGGAAAGTGCAGTGTGTGGGCACTGGTAGGATGCCCAGGAGACAGGACGGACGGATGGGCTGGGGACAGTGTTTACTGGCCAGTGGTGCTTACAGTGTGGTCCCAGTTGCCTGCAACAAAGGCATAGTCCCCCACCCTGCTCCAAAGCTCCTAATTCAGAAACTTGGGGATCCTAGGAGTCTGTGTTCACAAGCCCTCTCGGTGATGCCCCTTGGAGTAGTGTGAGGGGAGTGTAATGCTTGTGTTAGGTTCAAGCAACCAGTTCTGCTCTAGGTCTGACTACAGTGTGAGACATCTGTAGTGTGTTTCCAGGGAAAGGCTCAGGAGATGATTGGTTTTAAAGATTTAGGGTTCAAGATCTGGGCAACAGGTAGGATAGGAGACTGTGGCACCAGAGAGGCAGTAGAAATTCCTGGGTATCTGCAGGTGGATGGAGGGGAACCCCTGAGGAGAGATGCAGAGGGGGGTGCCTTGCCTAGGGAGAGGAACTGCTTCCTTGAGTTCTGGCTATGAATACAGCCAGCTTGGGAGGGGGGAACACCTAGGTTTTAAAAAACCTGTGTCGTATTTACTGGCTTCTGTTTCCACCATGAAGATGGAGAGGAGCCGTGGATGCTAGCCTCAGGACAAGAGGGAAGACAGAGAATCAGAAGCTGTATGTGAGCATAGTCTGAGAGACAGAAGGACCCAAGGGGAGCCGGTGTCTGTTGACTAAGCGAGAGAAAGAAAACACTGCTAGAAATGGCCTTATAGTCTGGGACCCAAGATGTAGGGAATGTGTCTCAGGATGGTGTGCCAAGTGACCTGGTCACCGACAGTCAGGGCAGGAGCAGGTGTGGCAGAGGCTCCGTCCTCCCCCCATGCTGTGGCAGGAAGACAGCAGTCTAGGTCCTTGCCGTGCACAGACCGAGACTTTCCATTTAGCTGAGAAACTCATAGCCAAGCTGAGCTGGAGACTATGCAGACATGAGAGACAGCAAAAAGACCCTCAGTGTCCCTTGGCCAGATACAGGACACCAAGTCCAGTGACAATTCCAGGGAGCTCTAGCAGTTAGAATCTAGAATAAGGCCGGGGGAGCTGGCTCAAGAGTGACAGTTCCAAGGGCAGAATGCTGGTTTGGACCACAAGCACCTAGCAGCCGTGGAGGCTGCCCAGCTGGGAGTTGACTCCTGGTTCCACCACTGTCGTGCTGTAGGACGTGAACAAGCCACATACTATGTGTCCCCTGTAGGATAGGACTGCTGCCAGGGATTGCCTTCAGTGGCTGCGAAGGTTGAATGAGTCACACGCATGCACGTACCTGGTGAATGCCGTGTCTGGCAGGTCCCGGGAAGTACCTACATGGTTCATCCACCTGCACTCCTGCATTTACCAACAGATTCTGGTTTACAAACCGCCTTTCCATATTCTCCTCACAAGGGCTCCAGAGGAATAGACAAAGGTCCTTTTCCACAGACAGTAGGGAGGGGGTGGCTCTGCCTCAAGGTTCACAGCAGGTCCAGGACAAGAGCCTGGGTGACCCAACTCCTTTTAGGGTGTCCAGAGAGCAATACTGTATCCTGTTCACCTTGGCATCCCTAATAGCAGGGATTCAGTAAATGTTTGCGGAGTGAGTGTGCAAGCAAGCATGCATGTGTGTGTGGGACTGAGCAAGGGAGGACGGAATGGGTGCCTCAGCTCTCTGCTTCTGTATTGCTTCTCAACCCTGTGGTGATGATGACCACATGGTCACATGCCCTGGCTCTCCTAAAGGCCTACTGACCTGAGACCTGGCCATCTGAGCACTATTGTCTCCCCAGGAGAACAGTCTCAAGTCCGGGAAGGGGGCAGCTGCCATGATCCCCGGCCCACAGACGGTGGCCACGGAAATCCGTTCTCTTTCACCGGTAAGTAGGCAGGAACAGCTCAGGCTAGGGGACTCGGAGCCGGGCATGCGGGCACACAGCCACAGCAAGTGCAGTGAGGGGCCAGGGGACTTGGAGCTGAGTGTGCCAGCACACAGCCACAGCAAGAGTGATGAGGCGCTCAGTACCATTTCAAATGCCCACATGCTCCCCAAGGTGCCCATCAGCACCCCCCCCATGTAACCAAAGCATTGTTATCAGGCCTGAGGGTAAACAGGACACACACACACACACACACACACACACACACACACACACTGCTGTGTCAGTTTATAAAGCAGTAAGAGCAGGGAGTTAGGAGTCCAGAGGCTTGGTTCTAGGCTGACTCTGTTGGTGACCGCCCCACCGGTGACCCTGAATCTGTCATTAGAGGTCTTTTCTGATAATTTCATTCTCTGTTGTTCTCAATACCTAGTCCAGAGAGAGCATGTTCCTGCCTATGACAGGACGAGGTCCTGGGGCCTCTGTCTGCTGCCTGGATACATCTGGTCATTTTTCTAGGATTCTTCCATTCTAGGCTGCTGTTAGGACGCTGGGCCTTAGGGATTCATCTAAGAGTTACAGATGCCTGGGTTTGGGAATGTTCTAGGTCTAGATGTGGAAAGATTCTGGTATTGTATAAGAATGAATGATAGTTCAAAGCATCTTGGCATCCCTGCTTCACCTTCGTGGGCCCCTGCTTCTCCCTGGGAAATTTTCCCTAGCCCTGCCTGCTCCTTCAGAGCCCAGTGCCCTGACCTGACCCCCGGGGTGGGGGTGGTTATATTCTGCAGATCATCGGGAAAGATGTCCTCACCAGCACCTACGGCGCCACTGCGGAAACACTCTCAACCTCCACCACCACCCATGTCACCAAAGTGAGTAGCAGCAGGCTCCCGGGCCCCAGCGGGCTTCAGGGCCCCAGTGGCTGTACCATGCTGGCCCCTGGCTCCTCATTCTCTAAGGAGGACCTTGGCCAGTTTTGGAGTGCGCTGCCCTGTGTTACTGTTGTCTGGGAGTAGGCCTTGCACACAGCGTTGGCAGCTAACCCGTGGGGTCAGATGTTCTCTCCAAACAATGATGTCTGCCTCTTACAGGCCTTGAGAGCCAGGAGAGTTCAGAAGAGTGATGTACGGGAAGCTCCCCAAAGCCAGACAGTGTCATTTGGAAAAAGTCGCTGTTTGCCAGGCCTGATAGTACAAGCCTCTAGCCCCAGCTACCTAGAAAGCTGGTGTGGAACTGAATGTCCAGGGCAGCCTGGGCAATGTAATGGGCACTTGTTTCAAAACATAAAGTGAAGAGGAATGGAGATATTTCTCAATGGTATAGTCATTGTCCTGTCCTCCCTGCTGGCCCACTTACCCAAAACAAGAGAGAGAAGAGAATGGAGTTTGAGGAGGGTCCTGGGACTCTCTGCAGAGCACCTGAGGGTACAGCAACCAGGAGGCATGCTATGCTAGCAGGAGGGGCAGAGACACTGGGTGTTTACCTCTTCGTTAAGCAAAAGCTAAGTGACCAGCCGGGCGGTGGTGGCGCACGCCTTTAATCCCAGCACTCGGGAGGCAGAGGCAGGCGGATCTCTGTGAGTTCGAGACCAGCCTGGTCTAGGTCTACAAGAGCTAGTTCCAGGACAGGCTCCAAAACCACAGAGAAACCCTGACTCGAAAAACCAAAAAATAAAAAAATAAAAAAAATAAAAAAAAAAAAAGCTAAGTGACCATCAACCTTCCTGGACTTTCAGGCTGCTGGAGGAGGTGTGTTTGTAGGAAACCAGGAAGCAGTGTGTAGATAGGGGACTGAGAAATTAGGATGCCCTTGGATCAAGGAAGTGTAGAGTGGGGGCAGACAAGATAGGCACCAGACCCTGGGGCTGATTTGATCATAGAGGATCCTAGTCAAGAGGAAATGTAACTGTAGTGACTCTGGAGACAGGCTCCCTGGAGCTGTCTGTCTGTCTGATAGGTGTGGGGAGGTAGAGGAAGGAGAACTAAGGCCTGGACTGAGGTCTTGAGCCAAGGGGAAGTTGGAAGAGAACAGGACAGAGGAGGAAGGCATTCCTAGGGACCATCAGCTGTGACAGCCAGGGAACTAGGAAGGGTTGAGAAGGAGCCTGTAGCAAGTGCACATCTGAGCTGCCAGGAAGAACAGAAGAGGCCCAGCCATGACTGGAGCCTGAGGAGCCAGGCTGAGCCCTGGGGGTTGAGTTGAAGGTCCAGCTGACCCACAGAAGGGAAAGTCGGGTTGATAACACTCGCCTGCATTGTAGCATTGTCACCTTGTCACATTTCCCAGGAAGCAACCTCTCAAAACACCTGAGAGAATGGGAATGCCTCACACAGCACACTCAACAGTGTATGGCTCAGGAAGCTCTCCTCTGTACCTCACCACTCAGGGGCCCCTTTGGTTCACCCTTGCCTCCCTCCAGCTAGGCTTTTCCTTGGTCACATCCTCCTTGGACATGCCAAACAGTTAGGGCCCCGCCCCATCCTCTACTTCTAAGCCCCACTCCTTGAGAAAACCGGAGAGGCAATAAAGTATCTTCATAGGCTTGTTCCAAGTCTTTTCAGGTAGAATCTTGTCTCCAGGTCATTGAAGGTAGAACCTTGTCACCATTCACATTCCATTCATGTGCTCATTCAACAGATCTACATTCAGCACTGCCAGGTCAGGTGGGGAAAGGTGCGGGGTGAAGGGACACTGAGGTCATCAAAGTACAAGCCCCCCTCTCCAGGTCTTGGAGTCTGGAGAGGTGAGCAAGGCCATGTGCACATAGGTCAGCACCATGCAGAGGCCCAAAACCATAAGAGATATAGACTCAGTGCTTAGGGAAGGCCGGGACAGGAAGCCTTGGGACCCTGCCAACCAAGGAGCAGCGTCTGAACTGGGTGTGGGAGTCATAAATGGAACAGTTTGAGAGCTGGGAGTGATGACAAACTGAAGTCCTCAAACTAGAAGAGAATATTGAGGAGGGCAGGAAAGACTGGTCGACTGAGGCCGACGTGTGTAGGTCTGTCACAGCTGGTCTAAGAAGGACCTCGCCTTTCTCTCCCCTGTCCTCTCCTTCTCTCTCCACAGACTGTGAAAGGAGGGTTTTCTGAGACAAGGATCGAGAAACGAATCATCATTACTGGAGACGAAGATGTCGATCAAGACCAGGTACAGGGCTGGGAGAAGTATTTCCAGGGCACAGCCCAGTATCCAATCCCTCCTATAATGGTGACCTATGGGGGGTACCCTTCCGAGCAGAGAAGGTGTCCACCCCTTGCTGACCCCCAAGAAGGGACATTGAATGGAGACCGGAAGATTCCAACTCTAGTTCTTGTACTCTGACTGTTTAACTTGGCCCCTCCTATAATGGTAACCTATGGGGGGGTACCCTTCCGAGCAGAGAAGGTGTCCACCCCTTGCTGACCCCCAAGAAAGGGGCATTGAATGGAGACTGGAAGATTCCAACTCTAGTTCTTGTTCTCTGACTGTTTAACTTGGCCCCTCCTGGGCCTCAGTTTCCCCAGCTGTGCAGTAGGGGCTTGTGTTCAGTTTCTCCCATAGGCACTATTCTGTGGTACCTCACTATGCTTTTCTGCCCACCAGGCCCTGGCTTTGGCCATCAAGGAAGCCAAACTACAGCATCCAGACATGCTGGTAACCAAAGCTGTTGTCTACAGAGAAACAGACCCATCCCCGGAGGAGAGGGACAAGAAGCCACAGGTACAGGTCTGGAGCTCAGCAGTGTGGGAGGGAGGAGGAAGCAGTAAAAAGATTCTTGGGAAGCCAGACGGTGGTGATGCACACCTTTAATCCCGGTACTTAGGAGGCAGAGGCGGTGGATCTCTGAGTTCAAGGCCAGCCTGGTCTACAGAGTGAGTTCCAGGACAGCCTCTTTCTACCCTTTTTTGGAGCTATGTTTTGCTATATCCTGTGTTTTATCAGCTGACGGGTACCAGCAATTCTAGTAGTATCTGTTGCTCTTATTCATAGGGTGCTTACACTGTGCCAGGCACCAAGCCTTGTACTGTCTGCTCATTCATTTTAAAAGTAAGGAAACAGATGCTCAGAGACCTTAACTGGCTTGCCCATAGCTACGGTGCTGGGAACATGATGAATTGATTAGAATCTAAACCTAATGTGTTAGACTCCAGAGCCATCTATGTTCCTCACCACGCTGACTTCCCATATCTCTGACTCATAGAGACCATGTATGTATGGTAATTACCATAGTGCCTGGCACACAGTAAATATTCCATAACAGTCACTACTGTCGTTATGGTGGTAAGCTATCAATGGCTGTCCTAAGCCAAGAAGAATGAATTATTATGCACAGTATTATTTAGGTCCCCCTGGCCAGGGTTAAATAGCTTCTTACGGTCATAGAGCTGATGATGGGAGGACTTGAAACGGTGTGATTGTCCCTGCCTGGAACCCAGCTCTTAGGAATGTCAGGAAGGAAGATATTGCTGTCAAGGGCAGCCTGGCATCCCCTCAGAGAGGATCTGTCTCCTAAACACTGCCAGCAAAAGAACAGCATTCACCTGGCTGCCTATAGCTTCCTCACCTTCCCAGGGTTACCTGTGCAGGGTAGGGGGTTGACCTGTTTCAAAATAGGAACCTCGGGTTCTCACCGTCACCCTGCCACCAACCTGCTAAACCATCAACCTTCTGGGCATGAGTTTTCCTCTCAGTCAGCTGACCAAAGAAGGACTCTTTTATGACACTTTGATTATACCGAATCCTATGTGAGTCAGGGATGCTGTTCCGTGTAAAGTGGTTTTGAGTAGTCACCAATGGTGAAGGTAGGGAAATGGTAGCCTTTACTGTTGGGGAAATGGGGCAAGAGCTATGATGACTCGGGTATAGCAACAAGGCCTCTACTAATCGCTCCTGTATCTAGGCACCCTCTGTGGTGCCTCTCTACCTGTGGAAGGCAGGTCCCATTTTCTAGAGAAACTGATGGAAGCTAAGAGAGGTTGAGACACTCTCCCACAGTTACAAAGCAGACAGGCCAGGGGTGGAGTTTGAACTCGGGAATCGTTACTGCAAAGTCCATGCTCTTAAATTCTGAGTTCTGTAGGTAACCCTTAGTTGGAATCCAGACTCTGGTTTTTTCTTTAGGCTGTCTGCCATTTAATCTGCAGGCCACAGCAGGCTCATGGGGAGTAGAAGACCTGCAGCCAGGGAAAAACAGCCCAGAACTGAGAAGAGCAAGGGAGCACAGTAAAATGGCGGTGACCAGGTGTCTCCACATCATTAAAGGACAATTTAAAACATTTTCAGACCAAAGCAAAAGATATTGCCTCCTCAGGATCAAACACGCAGATACACAGGGATTCTGGAGTTAGTGCCTATGTGCCATTCCTTAGCTGCCACCAGTAAGTGCATAGCCTTAGATAAGTCACTCCTTCTGGGCTACAATGCAGGGCAAACGGTAGCTAGGAAAACTGATGCTGTGTGTTTGAAGGCAAGTGGCTAAAGTAACTAATTTCCTTTATCTTCCTTCCTTTGTACCCATCACCCTGCTCCCCTGCTTCTGGCACCCAGGAATCCTGACCTCCGTGAAGAGATGCTGGCATGTCTGGTCCAACCCAAGCCAGAGAACCATTAAGAAGGGGCCTTCATTCTGGATTCTCCGACAACACCAACATCCCAGCTGCGACGTACTGTCACTGATGAGAGACTGGGAAGGGAAAGCATATATATATAGATATATATAGATATAGATATATATATATAGGAAACACCGCGTCCTTGCGCTGCTCTGGGGCTGGCGGAGCTGTCAGCTGATGGCAACAACCGACACCTGCAGCAACCTTCATCTTCTTTGCAGACAAATTGAATTGGTGGGAATTTTTTTTTTTCAGGAAAATATGTAACAATCATAATCTCTTGTTCCCTGGCCCCTTTCTCCTGCCAAACTACAAAAGCAGACCATGATGATTGTAGATGTCCCCTTGAACCTCGGCTGCACACACTCCAGGATGGGCGAGCACCCCGTTTGTTCTCCCCAGCCTCTGTTGCTCCCTCTAATGCGAAGGAAGAAAATTAAGATCACGTAGCCAAGCAAGAGAAGTCACAGCCGCAAGACACGCACAGTCCACTGTTTTCCAAGAGAAAAAGAATGGAAGTCTCCCACTTGGAGGAGGAGGGGGAGGAACACTCGGTTGTTATTTTCCGGGTCTTGACACTGGGCTGCAACATCCGCTCTTTGTCCTTCTGTCCTCTCCACTTCACCCTTGACCTCTGCTCATCTTGTCTCCATTTTCTGTCTCAGCTTCCTCCTGCCTCTCCCCCCGACCCTCCTCTTCTGTGTCCTGGTCCGGCTGAGGGCCACTGCGGATGACTCTCATTGGAAGAAAAAGAGACAACGAGAGCAAAAGGAAACCATGGGAAGGGAAGTAGACATTGTATGTTTCCGGTTTCTCATGATGGAGGTGCAGCTCATAGGAGATTGTATGACTGTGATTTTAAGTTATGTATATTACATGTAACAGGAAACAAATATTAAAATAAACTGTGCTGGTAAGTATGCAGCTGACATTTTCAAGTTATAATTACCTGACTGTGATGTATCCCAAGGTTCCTAGATCTTGCCAAATTGGCCCAGCCGAGGACACTGGACTCTGGGTGTGGCCGGCTCCCAGTAGGGCTGACAGATTCAGTGTAGTGAAACTGTGTGTGGTGTTTGTAACTGGGTGATTGGTGGGGAGACTGGGGGGCCCTCCATGAGAGGTGAAGGTTCGGCCAGAAGGAAACAACACAGATGTAGTCCCAAACATGCCAGGCCAAGATGCCTTCTCCCCCAGCAGTAGCTGTCTGGGCCTGGGCTGTGCGCAGGCCTCTGCTGCTGAGGTCATAGGTTAGTCCTCCTAGCTCCGGGGGGCTTGCCGTGGCTTTCAGTCCTCTTTCTGTTTTACTGTGACCAGGGTCTTTGTTTTGGTTTGTATTCCGCCACGTCTTGCCCTGCTCTTCACCTCCTCGTCACCGTCGGTTCTTCTCTTAAGGGAGGTGGTGCCCTGGCTGAGGTAGAGAGCAGCCTCTCTAACCTGGTTTTCTGAAATGCCCAACCAGTCTTCCCCCTCTGCCTCTTCCATCTTGTGAATCATGCTTTTTCCTCAGCTAAGGTAGCCATGATAAAGAGGCCATGAACACAGGAAAGGCCATGATAGGCCTTCTGCATGATAGGCCATACTGCATTGCCAAAGGTCTCACCTATCCTAGAACGATATAGCAGGTATGAGGAAGTGTTGCCTACTGGCTCCATCTGCCTTAGACTCGCTTGTAAAATGGCCTTGAGATGACAGGAGCCCTTGGGGAAAACCCAGCCACCAACTTGGCATATGCAGGCTCCTGGCTTGCTTGCCACGAGCAGTGTCCCTTTCTGAAGGAAATGTCCAACAGCAATCCCATTTCACTCCTAGTCCTGCTAAGGCAGTTCATACATTTATTCAACAAATGTTTATGAGTTGCCTGTTTGTGCCAGACTCTGTTTTTAAGGTGGAAGGAGAAGCATGTGGGAGAAGGGGAACCTGGGACCGCCACCGGACAAGCCTGTCCCTAACCATAGTTGGCTTGTTTCAAAACACGTTTCTACTCCCTCCATCTCTCAGAGGGCTCGGGCTAGATGCTCCCTCTTGGCCTGCTTATTAGTTACTCCTAGGATGGACACTTCCCCTACCTATAGGTGCTGGCCTGACACAGGGCAAGCAGCTAGAACAGCTCTTCTCTGTGGCCGCTGAGAAGTAGAGCCAGGCTCTTAGACAGCAGAGTCAGCCATATGCCCTGGTGCGGGCTGGTAGGCCCACTCCACTCCAGTGTGACAGAGCATTCTCTCTGCTCCGGGCTCTTTGTCCATTCTTGGTGGAGAAGCCACAGAACCTCCTGCCTGCCCTTTAGAACCTGTAAGCTCCTGCTGCTTCTGAGCCATGAGCAGGAATGGGTCTATCCCCTTGGAACTGGGCTCAGGCCTCCCCTGCCTCTGCAGGAACTCCATGGCCTGCACACACTGGACGTACATACCTCAGAGGGAGGACCTTTGTTCAGAGGGTTGCACCTGCCCTGAACGTGGGCCACAGGGCGAGGAGAAAATGACCTGCTTAGCTTGTGGGGTGTTAGAATTTAGGGAGATACTTGCTCCATGGGTGTTCTGACCTTCTCCCCCCAGAGAGGCAGTCAGCACCCTGCCCAGGGAGGAGGGGACCTGCAAAACTCAAATCTAGGGAACTGTTTCCTCCTGTCCTCCACTCCATAGAGAATAAGGACGTTGTCTTGTCTGTCTTCAACCTATTTTTTTCTTTTTGCCTTTTTTTGGTGTGTGTGTGTGTGTGTCTCATCTCTGTCCAGTAGGCCAGGTAACAGAATGGGGGAAATTCTCAGAGAGCAGTCAGAGTTCTGGGTAACCGTCTAGATGCAGCTCCTAACTCACCATGTGACACCGGGCTACTTCATCCCACCTAACTAAAGGAGCAGGGTGAACTAGTTGCTCCTAACTAAACGAGCAAGGTAAACCAGTTGTGCCCTGAGCCTTTTTCCCACTCTGTGTCTCACACGCCTTTATTTTCCCAACTTTTGCTTTCTGTGGATCTTTTCCATGTGAAGGTACAGGAAGTGCCAGGACCTGTTTCAGTTTTTGAATCCTGCAAGCACATACCAAGACTGGCCTGAGATTGCATGAGCAACATCACTCTAAATATATATATATATTTTTTTTTCAAAAAGCACCTTAACCAACCAACTGCAATGCTGTCGTGTTCCTTTTTACTCAGTCCCCTCTCCTCTCTGTCCCCACGCTCCCCACCTCAGTGCTCCGTGCTGTATGCGTGTGCTCTCTGTTCTTGTATACTCAATAAAAGTGAAATAAATGTGTTTGATGGCGAACCATGGACTCCCTCATCCTCCCTTATCTCCCTCCTTTCTCTCTCCTCTCTGACCTCGGGTGCTGGTACAAGTTGATATAGAACAGGAGTGGACACATCCCAATGTAGAAGACGTTTTTTGTTTTGTTTTGTTTCTGAGACAGCATCTCACCATGTAGCCCTCGCCTGGAACTCAGAGATTCTCCTACCTCCACCGTCCTAATGCTGAGACTAAAGTCATGCATCCAGCCAGGCTCTCATGTAGAACAATTTTAATCAACAAAGTCTGGAGTTCTTACTGTGGCCCAGGCCTTGGCTTAGGCTCTGTGGGCTCAATGGCACACAGGGCAAAGTCCTTACTGGTCAAGCGTTTTCTGTCCAGTGGAGGAAACAGTGAGACAGGAAAGATAGGTTAGAGGAGATCAGCTCTAAGAAGGAAACGTGGAGGAAGAAGTGGAGGTCACTTTAACAAGGCCAATGTTGAGAGTGTAGCTCTGTGTGTCATTTAGCATGTGTGAGGCTCTGTGTGTGATCCCCAACACCACAAAGGAGGAAACTGGTTAGCCAGTTAAGGACCTTCCTAAGGAAGTCATTTTTGAGCTTTATAAAGAGAAAGACCCAGTCAGGCGAAAACCTTGAATAAGAACTTTCTATGCAGAGGGTGGTGTAAGTATGTGGGTCCCAGGACCTGGAGTGGGGAGGCGTAGCATAATCCATCTGATAGAAAATCAGCCCCCTCTATGGGAGCCTGGTAAACAACGTGCCCACAATCCTGCCACGTGCTTCACGTCGTCATGCCACCCATTATTGACTTAACTTTCTTTTAACTCACTTGGGAAACATTTAAGGAAGGAAATTAGGGGACTGGTGAGATGGCTCAGCAGGGAAAGACTTAGCTAAAGCGCTTGCCATCAAGCCTGACGACCTGAGTTTGAATCCCCAGCCCCTCATGGTGGAAGGAGAGGTCTGAGTCCTGCGAGTCCTCTGATCTTTACATGCACATCATGGCACACGTGCTTCCCTGGACAGACAGATGGCCATACACACACACACACACACACACACACACACACACACACACACACACCATAAAATGTTAAAAAATAAAAACAAAAATGGAGCTAGGGATGTAGCTTGCCTAGCATGCACTAGGCTTTCGGTTCAACCCGACGGTACTGCAAAAATTAATAATTTAAAAAAATTCCAAAGGTAAATAACTAGTGCCACTTGCCAAAGAAAAGCATGGCCACAGAAATACATGGGAAGGGCTGGGGCGTATAGGGAGTATGCTGGGGGTGGGTGGGAGTGGCGTAGCACTAGCCTGGGATGCACACAGCCTTCCACTGAAAGAAAGCAATGAATAAAGATTAAAATTAGAAGCATAATTATGTAAAAGCTAAATTCCCTTGGGTCACTTAGGGTACACACTCTACATTTTCTGTTTTATCCTGTCAAGAAAAGCACCCAGTTACCATTCTATATCTCTTCAAACCTCACAAAACAAGTCTGTTTTGTTTTGTTTTGTTTTGTTTTCCAAGACAGGGTTTCTTTGTGTAGTGCTGGCCGTCCTGGAACTCACTCTGTAGACCAGGCTGACCTCAATCTCAGAGATCTGCCTGCCTCTGCCTCCTGAGTGCTGGGATTAAAGGTGTGCCCCAACACTGCCCAGCCAAAACAAGTCTTTTTTGAGTTGAAGATATCTGTACATACCATCCTAAATACTTCTTCTTCTTCTTCTTCTTCTTCTTCTTTTTTTTTTATTTTTTTTTTTTTTTATTTTTCGAGACAGGGTTTCTCCGTAGCTTTTGGTTCCTGTCCTGGAACTAGCTCTTGTAGACCAGGCTGGCCTCGAACTCACAGAGATCCGCCTGCCTCTGCCTCCCAAGTGCTGGGATTAAAGGCGTGCGCCACCACCGCCCGGCCCTAAATACTTCTTAAAGCCTACATTCTGAACATCCTGTCATTCCAGAGACGATTACTGCTTTTCTCTGTAAAGCCAGTTCACTAA